GGCCAAATCAATACCGGATTTTCCCAGAGTGAGACAGTGCGTCTTGCACGTGACGAGAGACAGATTGGGAAAGGACGAGACAGTGCGTCCCAAAAGGAAGCAATTGCCATACGTCACAATGACTTTAAGCGTATACTAGTAGAAGGACGCATGGTCCGGTTTCTTAGGAATCTGTGTATGTAAGTGAGAGTGTATCAGATTACAGAGTAAATGTAAACACACAAACCGTGTTGTTTTGGAGATCCTAGCGCTCCAGATTAAGACTAGGTGGTGGCAGCAACCGTCATGGTAATTCATGGTATAAGGGACTGACATAAAAGTGGTTATGAATGTAGTCTTCTTTCCAGACCTGTTTTACTTGTATTCCCTATATTGATAGAATTCGCTATAATGGTAGTAGGAGAAAGTTTATGTAGCGATGGGGATGATTTTGGGACACTGGTGGAAGCATATTAACCACCCCCCTTGATTCCCCGATTCTATCAAACCGTCACAATGGTGGGATTTTCTTTCTAACCCCCCCCCCCCCCTCTTCTTCCCTGATTTCACGCCAGAACCGCCACAATGGTGGCAGCGGTGGGATTTCTATCAAATCAACCCCCCCCCCCTCTTCTTCCCTGATTTCACACGCCAGAAACCGTCACAGTATTATTATTATTATTAAAAGGGATAAAAGTTTCAATGTTGCAAAAGTTGCATCTCTGTGTATCCAGGGATATTAATATGTGAGTTGTGTATCCAGCATTCAGTGCACTCTGTGTGTGCACAGAGTTTTTATGTATATAAATACTCAAGTGAGAAAGTCACTAATTCGCAGTGAAATTGCCACATAGTTTGATATTATTGACGGAATATTGTTGAGAATCATAAAGTAGATGTTGAATGTGAATTATATTGTATATTGTTTATAACTTTAACTTAATGTCATGTATTTGTATAAGAATAGTTTCCAGAAGTTCGGAATTTGTAACTGAAATAATCATAGTGTTCACGGTGTTACACATTATGGAATGTTGATCATTATATTCTTTATAACTCTATTTCTATTGCTTTACAGCGAACCACTCACTCGTTTCCCTCAATGGCTCAACCACTGTACGTTCACTCATCATCGCTATTAGCATATTTACATTATCTACGATATACAAATGCGGATGTGTAAGAAATCTTTGAACATTATTTTATACGCAAGTGTGATTGGACAGTAGGGCTTATTAGGAGTAGCGTTCCGATGCATGTTTGCCTATAGACTAAGTGCAAGAAGCTACACTTATTATACCACATTATCACTTACAAAGTGTGCGACGGTTATTATGTGCTATGAGTGCCCTATAACAAAATGTTTTTGATCAACCCTTGTCTTCCCCGACACAATAGATTATCTCATAAACTAATTTAAAACGACTTTAAATTTAAAACGAGAGAAATTTTATCAGATTTCCCCTCAAAACTCGGTCGCTTCCATTTATGAGTTACTCATACTTTTATTATGAGATCGTGCTTGAAGTAAAACCCTATCATGGTCGGAAATTTCATCTAAATTATAAACATCGAATTGAATTGATGGGACCTTACAAATTTTACATTTTTGTTCGCTTCTTCGCAATTTGATTTTCAGGCAATCATACACAACTGCAAAGTATTGTGCTGTTAATTTGTATCTTGGACCACGCAGAGAGAAATGATGAAGACCATCCCTGGTCATGGATGGATTGCAATGTAGGGGTAACAATGTCTAAATATTGTAATTATTTTTTCACTTTGAGTTTACCATTTGTAAGTGCCCCCATTTCCCCCAAAAGGTGCCCTTTTTGTTGGTGCATCCCCAATTTGAAAGACGGTCAGCCGCCATTGCTTACAATAGTGTTAATTATTTTTTCATATAATTCTGAAGTATTCTAATTATGGGTGACATGAGAATAAATGTCATATTCATTGTCGACGACACCCCCCTCCCCCATATTTAAGCAGTCTAGCTTACAAATTCAAAATCAAACTTAATTGATTATAATCCAAACAAATAGGATCATTCTCAAATTTGTATAAAAATGGATAACAAATTTCAAAATTCTAGTGTAACATAGATAATTAAGTGCAAAAGTCAAAATCACAATAACCAGGAATGACAAAAATGAACGTACTATTTATATATATATTTATATATTTTTTTTGTTTTTTTAGTGAAGGGAGCAGTTAAAGCTTCTGAAACACCAGAACATCAGAACATCCCAGTTAGACAAGTTATGACAGGGTGGAGTCCCATATTCAAAGTTTTTTTTAAGGAAAATGCACAATCAGGGAACTTTTGTTTTTGCGTTGTTAATGTGTACTTCTCCAAATGGATTCCTGAGGGGTCTGGGCTGCATGACCATGCATGCTAATTATGTGTATAATATACTCATATCGAGAACGACTATATTGTAATATTGTTTTAATAATCTGCAGATATATTCCCTTCACTTCTCCAAGTCTTTTGTAGTTAATTGTGAGTATCGGTCCATGTATCCCTGTAATCTCCCTTTCCCTGTTTTAGCGTGTATTTGTATATTATAAACTTTACTTTAGTTAATAATTATGTCATTGTAGTTTAAGGAGTCTATCCACAACAAGCTCTGCTTTTCCAAAGGCTCCGCCACTATATCTTGGATCTTGGATTATTTTCCTCCTAAATACTCCGAAGAAGAGTTTTGACTGGAGGTGGGGGAGGGTGGACGATTACATTTTGGAAAAAAAGTTCTTTAGTAACTGCATTTTTAAATGAGAGCGGGGAGGTTTGGTCGATGGTTGCTTGTTGTAGGTTGTTCCATGTCTTTACAGTCCTTAAGTCTTATGTCTTTATATCTCTTAAGTTCAACTTAATGGACAATATTCTGAAGAGTGTGTACCGGTATTGTATGTACAAGTATATTATAATCATTTCAATATGTTGTTACACTCTTTGTAAAATGAAATATTGTGGAAACCATTCTATCTATCTATCTACATGATGCCCCTCATAATTCGCCAGTGGGCAAGGGATCAGTGCCTCTTAAAAAGTGGACAAAGATATCAAGTCACTTAGGTAGGAAGGTAATATTATCCATATTTTGGTTTTAACGCAATATCTTTTCTCATTTGGACATTCTATAGGCATATAGGCTACCAATAAAAACCAATGAAAAAGATACCTTACAAACTTTGAAGTGCAATTTGCGCTATTTAAAGATGCATTTAGACAACTGTTTAAAAGTATTTTTTTCTTCTAATAAATATTATATACAAAAATGGACTCGGAGGTACATGTCCATGATTGTTATTATCCCGATTCTTTCTGTACTCGATAGACACGAGTCCCACTCTGTTTCTCTCTGTCTCTTGCTCTCTCTCTCTCTCTCTCTCTCTCTCTCTCCCACACTCTCCGCTTCTTACTCTCCACCCCCTTTGTCAGACGATCCAGTACAATGAGCTAGCTGCCCCCCCTCTCTCTCCCTCTACAACTCCTTCTCTCCGCTTCTCACCTCCACCTCAACTTTTACCCCTAAAGTACCCCTTTTTCTATATGTAATAAGTGCCTCTTCCCCTTCTAATAAATGCCCATTTTAATCTTTGATGAGTGCCCCTCATTTTCACCTCTGATAAGTGCCCCTTTTCTTTTGACACCTGCCCCTATTTTCTTTCTAATAAATGCTCCTTTTCTTTCTGATAAATGCCCCTTTTCAAATCTTGGAAGTGCCCCTTTTTATTTTTTAACACTTGCCCCTTATCCTTAAAAAAAAAAAGCGCCTTCCCCTTCTCATGAATTTTTTTTTTTTTTAACCTTTGATAAATGCTCCTAATATCTGATAGATGCCCTTCGTAATGAGTACCCCTTTTCCATTCTCATAAGTGACTTTTTCATCTCCGGTAAATGCCCCTTTTTAGGTGCGAGAAGTGCCCTTTTCACCTCTGAGAATAATTGCCCTTTTCACTTTGACACGTGCTCCTTTTACGTTCTAGTAAATGTCCATTTTCCTTTGGATAAGTGCCCCCTTTTCGTTTTACCATAAAATTTGCCCCTAATTTAAAGCGACTAATAGCAACTTTTTCTTTAATTTCCCCCAAATTTCACTCGCTAAATTCGGTTGCATTTCAATGTATAGTTGACTTAATAATGTTTCTAACTTTCTTATTCAAGGTCTTTTCAGTCTTTTATTATTAGATTGTGACATCATGATTATTTTTACCTTTTTTATAAGATGTACTTTTTGCACTGCGATCTCACAAATCATAACATTGTTGGTCGCTCACAAATAATTATTTTGGTCATCATACCCAACTGCTAGGTATTTTAAACCATAATGTAAAGAGAGAAACAAACATTGAAATCATCCCTTAATGTAATCACTATGTATGGGTATATATCAATGTCTACGAATTATATATTTTCGCTTTGATGTTTACCTTTATAGGTGCCCCTTTTCCAGAAATGCCTTTTTTGTTGCCCCTCCCCCCTACTTTGAAAGATGATCCGCCGCCCTGGTCACAGGTTTCAAAATATCTGAAAAGCATGGAAAATGGACCTGTCGTTTGAATTGAGAAGAAGGCAGAGGCCGGGGCATAAACCAAGGGACGGGCAGGCACCCTCCGTCTAGTTACCACTTCAGACAGTCATCTGTGTTATAATCATGATGAATAGAGCAAAACGAAGTCAAATAAAAAGAAAACAAATGAAATATACAATGAAATGGTCCAGCATTAAAACCCAAAACGGGTCGTTGTGTCGAGAATTCTGAGAGCCCCGCCCCCTTGCTTGTCGTCCCTGTGAACTATACTACTTTCTATTGTAGATGGCAGCAGACAGCTCGCCAGCTGGCCTAAAATTAGCCGGCCATCAACCCAACCATCAAGTCGCTACAGGATGACGGAAGTTCCGTAACTTAGAATTCATTTTATGGCAGTTTTAGGAGGTGATCGACCGTGATTTCCTGACAGAGCTGTAGATTAGAGTAAGTACTTCACTCATGGTGCATATGTTTGTGATTGTATAATGTGTTTATCCATCAATTTGTGAAAAGTTTTGAGACGACTCGCACTGTATTTTGGTTCAGTCTGTCTAACTTCGTAGTCTACAATACATGTAACTTCCTGCACTTTTTTGTACAGTTATCCATTATCACTGTACGGCTTGTGCACACAGTAGTAACTGCAACTTGCAAGTGCAACTGCGCTAAGACACGACACTGCCAGCTGTGATGGTAGCTAGCTTCTGATTAGACCGGTATGGATGTACGTCTACACCAAGAAGTTGTTCCCATGGACATTGATGTGGTATGTTAGTTGCAGTATCTAGTAGCAATACTAAAATGCCAGTTTGGTACAATATCTGTGTCCCCCCTCTTTTTTTTTAGAGAGAGACGGAGAGAGGTTTCTTTCAAGTTTCAGTTTTGTCATTTATTTATGATCATGTTTATCACTTTTTAAAGACAAGTTATAAAATTATTTTAGAATCTTAATTAACGCTGGACCGAGAAAAAGGATCATCCGCATAAACGAGGACCGTCTTCGTAAGCGGGGGACAGACATGTCCGCAAAAATATGGATCGTCCGCATTTTCGCTGACGATTCTGATTTCCGATCCCCGCGTTGGCGATGCAAAAGAACGGATTCTGCGATGATTTTCTTGATGCATTTCACTTAGACTTTGTACAGAGACTTTCACGTTATGACGATAAATCCCCGGGAAGACGGACACCGTATAAAGTAGACGGTGAACTGGGGTTTTTGTATTAAGCAGAATCTGTTTTTCGCATTGCCAGCACGCGTTTCGGGAACCCAAAACCTGCAGAGCACCAAAGAAAAAATATCTGCGAAAATGCGGACGATCCTGAATACCTTGAATACCTTGAATACCAAAGCTTCTGGAAGAAAGCCGTCTCCAGCTGCCAAGCTTCCAGGTCTAACTTCAAGGGGGGGGGGGGGATGTCCCAGCTTCCAGGTCTTGCACCATAGTCATTTTACATCTGTATCTTGCTTGCTGGGTCATATCAGGATTGTCATAACTGGAGTGTCAACTGGGAGAAGGGTGAATGATATTGCTCCTTCTTCCAGTGATAGTCAAGTCTGGCTTTAAAGCTGTTTACCGAGGTTGCAGATACTACCAACTCAGGGAGGGAGTTCCAGTCGTTGAGGACCCTGTGGCTAAATGAGTCTTGCCTGAGTTTGGTGTTGCACCTGGGTTTGGTCAGTTTGAAAGTAGGATAGGCCTGAGTCATGTCGGGATTTTCATAAACCGGGTCCCGACGGCCTTGTACCGATCGGGACCCGGTGTCCCGAAATCAGCTCGCAGGATTTGCCACTTGCCTCTATAAAAAGCGCATATCATCAGTATGTCCCTTAAAAGTGACCTTTTTTATCAATTAAATAAATCAACACATGCATACCTCGGCTCAGATCGGTATATTCTTCCATTTGACATTATTTTCATCCATGATTGGCGATGTTTAGTGCCATTTGCGTGCCTCTAAAAGTAAAAAAACTGGGGCAGAAATAGAAAGACAACATTCGAGCCACCATTTTGATTCATGCAGGTTGAATAAATCTGGTAAAAAAATATGAAAGTTAGAATAATAAAACGGCTTTCTAAAAATTTCTTCTGTACAATATACCGATCATATAATATTTTAAACACAAAATAAATATTTATCTCTTATTTTAAACATCGCATGCTTTTTTTTGAAAGCTGAAAATTACTTGGTAATCAAGAGTTTCGATATGGATAGCTGTTGCAAGGCAAGTTCAGACTAGTATCGGAAAAATGCGCAGTGCTCCTCGTAATTAGCTGTAATGCGTGCCAGAACGAACCCAAACAAAGACGTGATCGTAACGAGAAAAAAATCATTAAAAACTACGAGAGCACAATTGGAAAGACAACTACTGCTCAAAATTACCATAATCAGATAGATAACTTGGACAATGAATTCAATAATCGCCCAAGAAATGCCACAGAAATTGTGATAATCGAGGAGTAACTGGGTACATTTTTATCGCAAGGGGCCTGCTGCAAATACTCGAATCCTTTGTTATACTGCTTTTTACCGTAGAGGGCGTTATTTGCCTCGTATAGCCTCGTGTTCAATTTAAACACGTGTAATTCGGATATTGCAGCAGGCCCTTCTGATAGTGATTGTACCTATAGTAACTCCTTAAATATCACTATTTATGTGGCTTTCCTTGGACAACTATTGTTTTCTTCCTCCAACTTATGTATCTGATTACGATAATTTTGAGTAGTTGTCTTTCCAATTGTGCTCTCGTAGTTTTTTATGATTTTTTTCTCGTTACGATCACGTCTTTGTTTGGGTTCGTTCTGGCACGCATTACAGCTAACGAGGAACACTGCGCATTTTTCCGAGACTAGTCTGAACTTGCCTTGCAACAGCTATCCGTATCGAAACTTCTTATGATTACCAAGTAATTTTCAGCTTTTAAAAGAAGCATGCGGTGTTCAAAATCAAAGAAAAAATATTTATTTTGTCTTTTAAAAATTATTCGATCGGTATGTTAAAGAAGTACTTTTTAGAAAGCCGTTTTATTATTCAAACATTATTGTTTCTTTCAACCTGATTTATTAATCCTGCCGAGAGACCCGGCCAGTACAGTAGCTAGCTAGCAGCTGGCAACAACAACCCCATGGGGTGAACTGCCTTGCAACCCATATATTTATATCAGCAGTTCGGATTGATTCAGGATGAGCTAGAATATGATTGGTAACAATTAAATACTTAAGTTTTAAGGTGGATTGATTTTAGTGGTGTGCAAAACTGCAATTTCTTACATATTTCGTTATTTTTTTCGGAGCGTCGGTTCTCAAAAAACGAAACCGGGACCCGACGGCAACGGTCGGGTCCCGGTGTGATCGACCGTACCGACTCAAGCCTATTTGAAAGCACGCCCTCTCGTTGTTGAATTGATTGCATTTTGTCTGTGTTTCCGAGGATATCCTTGTTTTTACGGATGATCCTCATTCTCAACCCATGGCCCCTTCTGATTAAGATTGTTACATGTCTGGTATCAATTTATCATTAATGGAGCTTTTCTGGTGCAATAAATTCAAGATTCAATAATGAGATTTTGATCTAACGTTAGCAGTCACAACCCTGCTGTGTCTTGGTGTGTCTATGTGCATGTGAATGAATGTGGGTGGGGTATGTTTGTTTTGATACGTTTTACAATATTTGTTATTATAATTTGCTTGTATGTTTATTTTTGTACAGGGCCCCATTCTCACAAGCTTTGCTTATCTTGGAGTCCTTCCAATTTTGCTGTTCATTTTTTTATGTATTGTTTACTTATTTTAATGGAAAATAAATAAATGAAATAAAAATGAAATAAAAATGAAATAATGATTTGCTGTCCAAAGTTTGTGCTCATTTAAAAGAAGAGATAGGAATGTGAAATTCAATTTATGATTTCTCATATTCTACATGTAGGCCTACATCATTTATTGCGATCAGTAACTACCAAATAATAGTAGATTTTTTAGACTACAAATCGGTGCAATTAGCAAATTTATTGTTGAATCGGAATGAGCTACAACTGAAGAAAAAGACTTAAAACAACAAGTCTTTAATTCCTTTATGAGGGTTTACAGGTGATTTATTAAAAAGTGACCTATCAAAGATAAGGTAATTGCACAAATTGCAAGGCAGAATATCATACAATCAATTGGTATCACTTTTTACGTAGAGTTCAGACCCTTGTTGCCAAGTTCATATTTTTTCTGAACGCACGTTAATAAAAGACTGAAAAATGTGTTGATCTTTTGTTTATAATTTCGTACTTCGGCACCTAATTCCAAAAGAAAATTTTGTCACCAATTATGCTCCTCTTTCCATTGGTGGTATAAGATTTTTGAAATCTTACCAATTTTGTTTAGATATGGAACTCTGCAAATTAAGGTCATGCATGGACTGTGGGCATGCCACCATACTCATACAAGTGCAATGGTATCTGTAGGATAACCTTTAATACACTCTACTATTATACACAGCATCTTCCTATAAGAAAACCTCCCAAAGAGGACCTTTCATTAAAATAACGTCATCATGCTCTGATCATGAGCAAACAATTTTGAGTGAAATCCATGATTATGTGCATTCCAAATGTTAAACTCCTATACATCAAAAATTAATCACCTTATATTAAAATGGTTTTCACTTTCTTATCATTTTTATGAAAATCAAAAACCCTTTAAGAAAAAACAAGTCAGAAATTCAGAAAATGTTGTAAATTTTGTTCTCAAATAACTACAAATGAGTACATGTACATCAGTAGGCTCCAAATACTCAAATCCTGCCTAATCAACAAATAATTTGAAATACATACAGTACATTGTACATGTAGAATAATACATGTACTTCATTACGTGTTTGTGTCTCAGCTAAGATTGTTTTGAGTTTGCTTAAGTATCAATAAAGCTTTTTGGGTGTAACAAATTCATGATTCAAGATCCCATACTGTATGATAAATGTACTCTTCATCTAGATTACCAGTAGCTAAGTGTTGACTTGTGTTGTTTTCAAGATATATTTCACAGGAGATGTCCAAGGCGGCTGTACATGTAACTGTGGGTATTGGTCCAGGCTCATAATGTACACTGAACATGTACATGTAAATGTTATCTTGTAGCACATTCACCGTCTATTCTATAAACTTGCCTCCCGGTACTTGCGTTTGTTTGTTGTTGGTTTTTTTTTTTTTGTGTTTTGTTTTTTTGTTATTGGTGGTGTTGTTGTTGTTTTTGTGGGGGGGGGGCGGGGTTGTGTATTATAAGTCATGTGAGGGATTCGAAACTTCCCAACCAATTTCATTTTATAATAATGAATATTAATATTGCGCACTTTGGCTGCTTTTTTCTTCTTCTTCCAAGACACTTTTTGGTTATTTTATGATAGTCTCAAGAGCATGATATAGTACTTTTCGAAGGGACCTGGATAGGCAGAATCTAAATGTCTCTGTGTGACCAAGGAGTGTGACACCTTACATGAAATGATGCACTCTTGTTTTGCTCTTGAAAACAAAAATGTAGCAAAGTTGAGGCTGTTACATGTACATTATAGGTTCTATCATACATACCGGTTCATGTACTGTACATGTACATGTACATGTAGATATTATAACATGATCAATAATAGGGAAAGGAAGATTTTAATGTTTTGTACTTTTGTTCATAGAGTCTAAAAAGTGCTATTTTGACATTCTTTCCAATGAGCCATTCCTAGAAATGTAAGTGATTTACCGTAATTCATTTATTCAGAAACTAAATCAACTTTTTTTCTTATTTCATGATTAAGAATATTTGTGAATGTTTGTGTTAGTTTATTAAATCATACTTTTTAGATCAAGATCATTCCTGTCAATAACTCTGTACCTTGTACTAACCTAAGGTTAGCTATATTGTTCAGCCACCCAGAATCCTTTCCAAATTGTACTACAATTAAACCCACCAATTGTTTTCTTAAATTTGTTTCCATACAGACTGATGATAACAGCGCACTAAAGATGGGGACAGCGTCGCCTGACCCACTACAAAAATTGTGCCTTCTGTATGTGGCCAGGAACCTGCCTAAATTTTGCTGTGAATATGTATCCTTAGAAGGAGATCACACCGAACCCAAACTCTGCCTGAAATCACCCGAGATCAAGCTCCATCGTGATCTGGCCGAACAGCTTCTTAGAACACTGAGCGAGACGCGACAGCTGAGGGACTCGACACTAAGCCTATTTGCCAATCAGAATCTTGTGTCTGTCCGGAAGGCATGTCTGAAATACGCCACACTGTCCTCCAGAGGGCTACGTGCCCTGTCCGGCCACCAACTCACCGAACTTGATGCGGCGGGCGTCCGGAATGTCAACGTCAACGACATCATCGGAGCTCTGGGAGAGTGGACCAGGAGAAACCTGCGCTCGTTGAACGTCAGTAATTGTACATTCATGAATAACTCCAAGTTCTGCATAGTGATTTCACTTCCGCAACTCAGGCTGTTACGCCACCTCAACGTCAGCTATACAGAGTTTGGTAACAAGCTCGGATTGGAGGAGGTTGCCGAAGGGTTGACGCAGCTAGAGAGCTTAGACATCTCGGGTACCCTGGTCCACATTATAGCACCGCTGACCAAACTCAAACGGTTGAAATCATTGTCAATGTACCACACCAGGGTTGCGGAGAAGGATATCCCATCGACAGTGGCCCAACTTCCAGAGCTAAGACACCTCGACATCTCTCAGGACATGCATCCCGTCAAAGACAGCGCCCATGAAACAGGTATCAATGTACTCTTGAAGTCAGCAGAAGACTCTGTTCCAAACCTCATGTCCCTTGATATCTCGGGTAGGGATAACATCAGGGATGAAGCGCTCTGGCATTTTGTGACGAGTAGACCGAGGTTAAAGTTCATTGGACTCACCCTGACGCAAGGGGTGCAGAAAGAAAGACAGTCGTCGAGAGAGATGTGTTTTGAAGACTATCTCATAGAAGACAGGCATGATAACTTCAGACCGGAACTCAAGGTAAAGGATGTGACAAGTGTCATGATTACTAATTTGCAATACTTATCATGGCTTAATAGTATTGTTTGCTTAATGTGATTCAGCGCCCAACACTAACAGATGCTTGGGACCTTAGGGCACCCAAAATCTTAGTCCAGACCCGCAGACCCCCCCCCCCCCCACCCCCTCCCCTAAAAAAAATATATGGGGGGATCTTACTTTAGGGCTCATGCATACAGGCTGTAAAAAGTTCATTCCAGAGTCCAGACCCCCTTTCCCAAAAAGTTAGTTTGGAGCCTTGTGTTTACCCTTCTTGAGAGAATAGTAATTTGAATTTACTTTTTTTTTTGGTGATACCCAATGTCAAATGTCATTTATGTAGACCATATCATACCTAATGTTCTGTTTTGGAATCTTGTAGAACCTCCGGCAGTGAGTAAAAAATATGAAATATGGTATTGCGAGGTTTAAATGATAAACAAATCTTTGGTATTGGACCAGGGTCTTTCATTATTTTAGTATCTTGATAATCTTTATTTTGGTCATTTGACATACCGGTATGTAATCATTTACTTAATATGATTTGGTGTATATTAATGATACATTAGGTGTCAGGCTATGCAACCGAGAGTCAAGTACTAGAGGCACTGCAGAGGTACACTGAACGCTCCAACTATGTTCATAAGCTGCTGTGTTCTCTCTTCAACATGACGCAGTTCTTAGAGAAGCCCAGACCTGACATCGTCAAGGTATGTACTGTATATATATATCAGAATCTTTATCAATCAACCTTCAGGGATGGTGTATGCAGAGCTGCCAACCATTCCGTTTTTGCCGGAATTACTCTGTTTTTTCCTCCAAATTACGGTATTACGTTTTTTCTTCATAAAATACGTTTTTTAATAATTTTTTTTTTTTTTTTACATACCGCATGTCAAAAAACTGCCCTAAAATAGTGATTTGATCACAAATTCAATAGAAAACTAATTTTAAAACATACTTGAAGAGAAAAATATTCTCAAAAAAAATGAAATGCCGATAATACCAAAATAACCACAAAAAAAATTACCTGCTTGTATGGAAAAAACAGCATGATGAATGAACATTTCTGCGTTGGAAGTGTGTCGCGCGTGGTTGTAAGTTTTGTTTTCATGAATTCCTTTTTTTGCTTAAAATTCCTTTTTTTTGCCATCATGATTCCTTTTTTTGGTCGCACAAGGTTGGCAGCTCTGTGTATGTCATGTCCTAGGGCTATATGATGTTGATATTAAAAAAAAAAAAAAAATGAAATGAAATGAAAAAAAATAATTGTAAACAAAAAATTAAAAATTTAAACTCATAAAAACAGTGGAATCGCATAGAAACATGTACAAGTAAACCCCAACAAAAACTTTGCTTTACAATTTTCTCATCAAATATTAATGAAAGAGCAAACATTTTTCTGAAATTTTACCGGCCTGGGGCTGACGGGCCAGTGGTAGTGTTGAGTTTTCGTGAAAATCTGATTTTTCTCTCCAAAATCTGATTTTTTTAGGATACTCAGTCTGTTTTTTGTTTGTGTCAAGAGGTTGGCATCTCTTACTATGATATATTTACTTCCAACAATATTTACCATGTATTGTTGATATTGATTTACTAACAATTAAAGTTGTAATTCTAACAAAGCTGTGATTTATAACTGTATTGCTGTTGGTAAATAAATCAAAATCAAAACAATCATATTTGGAAAGGAAAATGCTGCAAAGTGTATGATGGATGGTAGTGCTTTCCCCAAAGTGTGATTTTAGAGCTCTAGCTAACAGTAACAGTTTTATGTATATGTACAACTGGACTCGGATATACATGTAGTTCCGTTGTGTTGTTGATGGTTGTATGAATTATACTGTGGAGCAAGAATGATATTTCTTGAAAGGACAATCACATTACTGGCGATATTATAGCCCATGGTAAACAAATAGCTGAAAATGACATATTGTGCAGTCACAAACATGAAGTCTGTCCATCCTCAGTCTGTCACAATATACAATATACTGTACATGTAGGTGTTTTGTCATTGGATGTCTACCTATATGTATTTGTCTTGTGTGTGACAAATTTTTGACTAAAGGAAAGAAGGGGGGGGGGGTGGTTTGAAACAAACAGTGAATGGATTAGACTAGTCATGGATGGTTCTTCCTCAAGGTTTAGTGGATAGTTATTTATACATGCAACTGAGGTTTCGCAAACTTAAATTATTTAAAGTACAAGGTTACCATGTGAACGTACAATGTACATGTAGCTAATAGGCCTGGCTTCACTAGCTCGAGATTGCCAAATATTCCGCTATTTGAACTATCCCGATCGCAAACTATCCAGCTAATTTGCATCTTCATCAGCCCGAAGTTGCAATTAGAGGGATATTTAGTCGGGATTGTCATCCCGGCCAACATATCTTGGGATAGTTTGCAAAATATCCCACTATTTGGCAAAATATCCAGTTATTTGTCCGGTGCGTCTTCACCAGACGGAAGACTCGCACTATGCGCGAACGCTGAGCAAAATATCTCGAGCTAATTTCTCAAGGTCAAGTTTCAAGTTTCGAGGTCGAATCTCGAGCTGATGAAGACGCGATTTGTTACTTCGGGATTATTTCCCAAATCAAAAATAGCGGGCTATTTGGCAATCTCGAGCTGATGAGGGCAGGCCTATTGACTGGTCTGTAGGGTAAAAGCTTAACTTCTAATGCCTCCACAACAGATGTAGCATAATCCTGAATTTGGCATGTTTACAAACATACAGTACTTGCAGATGGTGTTTTCCAACTTGTTTAAAGATTGTTATATCTGCCCTGAGTTTTCATCAAGATTTTCAACCTCGAGTGCTTTTTAAAAATATCAAACATTTGAGATATGCCTTCTATTCCTTGACTTGGATAAGAGGGAGGGGGATTAGAGGAATCAGTCAGCCCCCATGTCAACTAATATGAAAACAGTTTTCAGATCTCAAACAAAAATTAAATCACTTCATGTGATCTGTATTCATTGGAATGGTGAAAAGAACAAGGAAGTCTCCTCTATCAAATTTCTAGTCAACTTTTTTTTGCTCCATTTCCATCTGATATTTTCTATTTAAATACTGTTTTTGTTATGCATGAAATATCACGCTGGGAGATTTTACTTCAGTGTTTATTTACCTGTCTACATTTGAATGAAAAAGGCTTCACCAATGAAATAAGAATGTTTTTCAATAAGATTTGTAGAAGGAACAAGGAAGTGTAGATCATACAACTGTTATATTTGATAGCATTCCCCCAAAATAATTGTGTTTTTTAAAAATTATGGGAAGTTGCAAAACGATTTACACCTGTAAGGGGAATTAGCCTTAATTTAAAATAAGCCTGAATTTTATTTTTTCAAGTAGTGGCTAAAAAAATGTTGAACAACAATCTACTTTCCATCAGACTTTTTAGTCTTTAAAGAAATGAAAACATACTTCTTCCCTCAGCAATTTAATTTGATACATGAGTCTTTGTCTTTTATGATATTGTTAAATACCATGGTATCTGTGTTGTTTTAAGCCCTGCTTACATGTAAGTATCAATATTGTTACACTACATGTATATATTATTATTACTGGAAGCAGAAAATTGAGAAGAAGAAAAATCAATGAATTTTGAGATCAAGAATACAAAGATTCAAGAAAGTTGTGAACCAATTTTGTTTTCTCTGAAGCCAGCAATGCAAGGCTCAACACTCTCATAAATATAATGATGATAAAAAACTGATACAAATACAACAACAACAATAATGAAGATGATGATAGGAGGTTACACATTGTACATGGTATTACATGAACTTGTTTATTGTATCCTACAAAGCAGTGAAAAAACTCAGGAGCGTTTCTCATTGAAACATGTACTATAGGCACCTGTACATAAAGACCACCTGTCTACAAAGGTCACTTTTTGTGTTTCCCTTGGGCGGTCGCTATAGACAGGTTTATACTGTACAGTAATAATACTGTGAAAATTGCATGTATACAGCTGTACAACACTAAATCCTAAAAGAGCTCCTGCTAATAGAAAAGTATTTTTTACACTGCTGCAAATTATCTCATAAATGGTTATTCAAAAATGTGTTGTATGATAGACAGTAGGATTTGTTGTTCAGATCTTGTGTTGATCATAATAGGTTACAGACATTCCCTGGGATTCCCACAAACTTGTCATTATTTCTTCTAGGGTCAGATTAGAATTGAAGTGTATATGTAGCTTTGTCATGCACACAAGTCATGTGTACTTTTAGAGTGTATGGAAAACTACACTGTACAAGAATATCAACTAATCTGGGCAAATCAGGCTTTATTATCAGTTTTTCGCCTAAATGCACGCTCTGAATACCCTACAAATATGTCAAGGTTTTTGACAGCTTACACATGTAGGTTGGCACACAATACAGACATACCTCCCATGGTAATCCCCTTTTTAGCACTTTTTCTTACATGCAAAATTTGTGCTGTTATGTGCATAAAATTGTTTTGTATTTTATTCAAAACCTCCCCCCCCCCCCTCATTTTCATAGCTCATGAATCTTATGTTGTCCTCTTTTATACAGATCAAAATAAATCAACTTTTTAGAGAAAAAAAGATAACACAGTGCTACTTGTACACAAATCTTCTATTTGTTCAAACAATTTACAATGACATCCCATCAATGTCTAGCTGTTACTTGGCTTCATATATTTGCTACATTGTCTGATAGTCATCGTAGCCAACTGTCCGTCATGATTTCATGTTTCAATTATTGAATGAATGTTTGTTTTTAGACATGTTTTGTGAACGTATCATGTATTGTTTTGATTACAGATCATACTGCCACAAATGAAAGCACATCCACGGATTATAGGAGTTCAGATGGCTGCAAGGTAAAACTCACTGTCTAAACACACACTGTATAGGTTTAATATGCTTTCAAAGAAAGCTCACTGTCTAAACACAAACACTGTAGGTTTGATATGCTTTCAATGAATGTAAAACTGACTGTCTAAAGGTTTATAACTGTACTTTTAAACTCACTGTCTAAACACACACTGTATTGATTTATGCTTTCAATGAAAGGTAAAGGGTAAAATTCACTGTCTAAACACACACTGTATGGGCTTAATATGCTTTCAGTGAAAGCAGACCAAACCAGAGAAATAGAGCAATTAAGGTTGAGCAAATTTACATGATAAAGGTCATGAAAATACTTTCTTGCAAAGACTCTTTGAAGTACAAAAAACATTGTCTGTTTTGTATGTGTGCTCATATTTCTAATCATATTTTCAACAATCTTTATTGTTCTTGTTTTATTTTCATTCAATTTATTATATTGGATAATACATGTATGTGATTCAAGTGTTACAATATTGTTTTTTAATATCCTCTCTACTCTCTACATAGCTCTCTCTCTCTCTCTCTCTCTCTCTCTTGCTGTTTCTCTATACCTATCATTCAACTCATTATCATGCATGTCCTCCTTCTCTTTATGATTCTATGTCTGTGCTTCGCTCCTTACTCTGTTACCAATATACCTCTTTCTTCTTTAACCCCTCTTTCTCTCTTACTCTCTTACTCTCTTACTCTCTCCCCCTCTTCCCACTTGCCTGCATTAACTGTTGTAATTCTATCTTCTTCCATTGATATTTATTGTAATTGTTTTATTCTCTTCCAGCGCTTGCCTGTACAACCTGACTAAGCATCAGCTAGGAGAAGGTGTCCATGTGTCAGTTCTTAGTTCAATGGTTGGTCTGGTACTGGATGCAATGGAGACATTCTACAGCCAACAACAGGTTAGTGTAAAGCGCTTTGAGACATCGTAGATGCAGAGCTGCCAACCAGTACGATTTTATCGTATTTCGTACGATTTTTAGAAGTCATAACGACAGTACGATTTTTCCTCAAAAAATACAATTTTCAAAAACAATAAAAACAAAAAAGCCCATTCTCTCCTGTAAAGTATCCTACAAGCATATCACATCGGCAATCTTAGGGATGTTCATTGGCTCATCAAGCACGAAATCATGCATATTCAACCATTGGTCCATTGAAAAATTTCTTCCTGTATGTAGGAACTTATGCAAAAATGCATTTTCGCAGTGAGAAAGTACTTATCGATCAAAAATAGGATTTTTTTTGGAAAATAATAGGATTTTTGTTCAGTTGAGGTTGGCAGCTCTGTAGATGTATTAGGCATTATATCAAAGCAGAATATTATTATTATTATCTCCCTCACCCCCTCCCTCATTCTTTTTACATAGTACATTATGTCTTTTTTGGAAGAGATTCATAGTAGAAAAATCCCCTGTTATTGATGATTCTTCAAGTGCCCTAGTGTAAAGACCAAACAATTACACCACAAGTGTGTGTGTGTTTGTGTTTGTAGTTCAGTATACCCCTTTTTTTTTGCATTACATAAATGTGCTTCAATCAAGATTGATTCAATTTCTTTTTAATTTGATGAATCCGTTACATCACAGTGTATACGATTCTTATCTACTATATAATCAACCTTCCAAAATTGCCTTTAGACGTTTCTCTCGCAATCTTTTTGTATGATCAGAACTCAATTTTATCTTTAACTGTAAACAGACTGATTTAGACTCTTATGTGTGGGATTTATCTCCCATGGCACTAAAAGGGCCCATATTTCATGAATGACAGACATCTTTCTACTATGATGCTCTCATTTCTAACAATACAATGGTTCAATATGTGCATTTATAAAATCTACTCACTTTCTCAATGTGATTTGTGTTTTTTTCATATCCGAACAAAAACATTTTGGCCAAAAGATCTGCTAGTCTTAAGGTGCTCAATCAGTGAGCCTATAAAGTCTTATCTCAGGGACATGGTAATTGTATATAAATGCGTGCCCTACTCCAAGGTAGTGGCTGGTCTGGAATTTACAATTTCTGATTCTAAGACCGCTAATAATGTGTCTTTCTGATTTGTTTTCCCCCTTATCTTGTACAGCTTCAGAAGAATGCCCTATTGACTCTATGTAGTGACAGAATCCTCCAAGATGTGGTGAGTATACTGATCTAGGAGATTTATTTATCGATTTAATCACGGTTTAATACAATTTGTGAATGGTAGCTGATGGCTCTCATCATGAAAAAGATGATCATGATGGCGATTTTAATGATGATAGCAATGATAATAATGAGGATATATTCAACATAAGTTATGATGATAAGACAGTCAAATACATGTAGATAATGAACATGTAAACAGAAAATTAAAGCTAATCTTGAGCTCTGGTATGGGAATTGTATTTTGAGAGGAAATTGCTACGATTTAGTCTGGATTGCTTATCCTGCAGTAGATCGGTTGTTTGAACCAGTGAAATAAAAACAAACACACAAAAACATGCTGGGCATTATCGATAAAAACAACAACTCCCATTTGTACAAAGTGACCTGTGTTAAGCACATGGTGTCACTTATCTTGATTTCCTTATCTATCAAAGCTGTTTTGCACATGTCATTTATTTGTAATCTTGAACATTCAGTGCAAGTTTTGTTGGATTCTGTGAGAATTAATTTCCTATATTCACCAGAACTCAAGTTTATCTTGAATAACAGTGAGAACATAAACCACAGAGAGAGAAATCATCGCATTGATCAGTCACAGCATGCAAAATAAGTGTCATCAGTCTAAATGTATGTGATAGTACATGTAGGTCAAGAATAGAGAAAGGGCCAGAATAGGCAAAGTGAGGCTAGTTCAAGGCACAATAATCCCCCCCCCCTCCTAACACAAAAACAAGAAAAATAATAATATTCAAGGTTACAGACCAATGTAGAAAGAGATTTCGGCAGAAATTTGATGATTCAAACTGTTTTCTGCAAATTTGGAAGTAATATTAAATAATAATGTTACTATGGACTGCGGTTATGACCAGCAATACCCCACATTTAAAAAGAAATGGCCTATTTTCTACTAAAAATATAAATGCTGGGTGTAAGCTATTTGTCCCAAATTTGGTTTAACAATGTAAGTTAGTCTGAGTTCTAAATTTTTTTTCTGTTAAACATGATTTTAGGTTTAAATGAATTAGTAGAATACAGACCAAAGTTTTTAATGCAGTGTACCATTTGTCAGTCGTAGTACATGCGTATGTCCCAATATTTCACCCCAAACAGGTTTCACTAATGACAGCGTGTGACCTAGAAACAGTGTCACACAATTAATTCAACCTGGCAATTTAAGCTAATTGCTTTGTTATCAGTCCCAAACAATAGAAAATGATTTTAACACGGAACACTTTATTCATCATTTTGTGTGTGAATTTGACACATCTCCAATCTATCAGGAAACATGGTTTACTATCTCAGGAAGCTAGTCCAGGAAATAGTGGGTAAAAGGCTTATCTCCACTCAGTTATCACTCCAGCACAGAACCATTGAACAAATAGACACTCACTCACACATTGTCATCCAGAAGCCTCAAATCCACTTTGACTCTGATTATAAACTGAAACATAGGCCCAGAAGATAACATGCTAAAAACAACAATAACAAGAAACCATTAGCTTTTCCTTTCGGATTGCCAGAATTTACCTTTGAAAGAGACCTACTTGTGAAATAGTTGGCTGAAAGTCAATTTTCTGGTATGAAAGTCAATCCCCTGGTTTTAAAATAAACCCTCTGGAATAAAATTGGTCTTCAGGACAGCATTTTTTAAAGGGCTAAATTGATCACATGTTAGATGCTGCTTGTAAGTGTCGGCTTGCATGGTGAGAGAGAGAGGATTGAGGAGTTCTGAAAAGCTAAGAAAGATAACAAACAGTCCTTTTCAGGACTGCACACCCCCAAGAAAGATTACCGAGTCAGAGTTCTTTTCAGGACTCCTCAATCTTTTCTCTCTCTCTCTCACATGGTGCACCCGCAAGCCTACTGTATGATCACATATTGTTTTTCAAATTGGCAACAAAATGATTTTTTCTATTATTGGTACATTTTTGTAAAGTTAATAAATCTATAAACAATAAAAATGTCCGTACCCTGTGACATAAAGTTGGAATAAAAGGCAAATTTTTATGAAAAATAACTAACCTCTCAAAGTGTTCCCTATTTAAGGATTTTAAAATCAACGATTGCAATAATCAGTTCGTTCGTTCGTTCGTGTCTCCTTAGATCAAGATAGTTATGTAAAGTTCCTAAACTAGAATTAAATTAAATTAAATTAAGTTCTTCCATCGCCCCATTGCTGCAATGGCCGTTTGCTGCAATAATCAGCTTACGTCGTACCTTAATGATGTTTTTTTTTCTTTATTTGAACAGAACTTTGATCGTTACCGTGCATCCAAGATGGTGATGGATTGCTTTATAATTTCATAACTTTAGACTTGATTTCAACCGCGACAACGATCAATTTATATTGTAGGAACGCATATGCTTCCAATATGTTAATTTGAACCAAATTCATGACCCCATACCAAAACTTTGTAATACCTTTAACTAAAATTAAATTAAATTAAATTAAGTTCTTCCATCGCCCGATTGCTGCAATGGCCGTTTGCTGCAATAATCAGTTTACGTCGTACCTTAATGATGTTTTTTTCTTTCTTTGAACAGAACTTTGATCGTTACCGTGCATCTAAGATGGTGATGGATTGCTTGTTTGTATTTGATGATCCGTCGATGACGAGGATGTCGGTTGCAATCTGCTCTATCCTGGCTGCTAAGATATCTACTGTCCAAACTACTCTGCTGGGGACCAAAAGAAACATGCAGGTTAGACAAGATTGCTTTCGGGCTGTCTGGAAAAAAACTGTCCGGTAGAAAGAACACAAGTGAGCTCGTGGAATGGTTGGGTCTGGAAGTAACTGTGGTGGAAGTGGTAGAGAGAAGTGGATTGAGATGGATGGCTGGGTCATGTGTTGAGAATGGAAGATGATGAACCTGTGAAAAGAGTGTGGGATCTGGAAGTGGATGGCATCAGAGGGAAAGGAAGGCCAAAGTTTTAATGGAAAGATATGGGCCCGTTGCAGAAAACTTATCGTTGATGTTAACTTTGCCATCAAAGGCAACTACCATGGTAACAGGGCTCAACAGCCAATCAAAATCAAGGTTTCCATGGTAGTTACCATTGATGGCAAAGTTACCATCAATAGTAATTTTTGTGCAATGGGCCTTGGTGAAGAAAGAAAGCAGTAAGATTGGTCTAAATGAGGAAGATGCTTGAGACAAGAAGTAGTGGAGAGAGCGTGTGTCATGGCACAAAAATCAGTAACCCCTCGTAAGAGGAAAAATGATGACTGTAATAAATGATGATGATCTGTGCGTTTTGTAGTCTTGTAACCTGCACCCATCAATACCTCCAGGAAGCTTTCTTTCATTCAAACTCAGTTTATTTCCTATAATTACTGTTATCTGATTGTGTGGTATAATGACAGGGTATTCATTGCACTTATTCATTGTCATATGACAGTGTGTCCCTGATGGTTAACTTTCTGAGGTTTTGTTGGTTTAAACTTTTTTTGACTCAAGTGCAGTGCTAAGAGAAATGAATAGAAAAAACATAGAATGCAGACATTTTATCTTTAAAGAAATACTTTTTGTTCAAAGTACAAGGAAATGTAGAGATCACCATACCAGTTTTAAGACATTAAATAGCAATTGCAGGTTATACCTGATCTAAGTTTGATGCACTTTCATCCCACTGAATATTGAATGCAAAAACAAATAGTTTTCATATATTTGAGGAGGCTAAAGACTTTCTCATGTCTGTCAGTGAAACTGAAGCTATGCATAATGTAAGCTGCATATATATTTGATTGCTGGTCAATAACACCCAGTCTCAACCAGTGTACTATATCCCTGGCTACATGTACATTTTTCTACTTTAAGGCCGTCTGTACTAGTGTGGACGGGAGGGATTAGACCACCCAGCGAGGTCGCTGACAGGTGGCTAACTCATCAACTCAGCTCTCAATTAACATAAGAAAAATGGGATCATGGGGGACCAACAGGCACCGATTAGGCATTGTTTTCTATATAGAGGGAGCAAGTAGCTACATGTACAAGTGGTACAGTGGAGCTTTAAAGGAAATTACATGGAGCAATCTTATTTTGTTTTCATTTTTAAAAAACATTTTCATTTTTTAAATTCAGAAACTGCTTCAGATCGTGCGTCAGAAAGCGGACATCCGTTCTGTGGACATCACTCTCAAGTTCACCTTGAGTGCGCTGTGGAATCTCACCGACGAATCACCACCCACCTGTACTATCTTTGACAATGAGGGCGGGCTTGATCTCTTCATTGACATACTGGAGGTAATTATGATCTATCCACTTGAGAGGCCACTTGAAACTTATCCACACTTCATGGTCATTATTTGGGAAGAAGTTTTATGTGAAATTTAAGGATTGTCGAAAAACATCTCTTGAGATATGCTTATGACATTCATGAATAACGTTTGCAGAGTAAACCTGTTTTTTCATAAACTATGAAAATTTAATCTTTGAGACTTGCTCTGTTTGATTTTCACTTGAGAACGAACTGAATAACTTGTTATTGTCAATAATGTCCATTTTATTTATATTTGTACTTTTGCTTCAATTTCAGATCTTCCCTGATGAATCCACACTCCAGACAAAGGTTTTAGGACTCATTGTAAGTAGTGTCTTTCTATTCTCTCTTTCTCTCTTTCTCTCCCTCCTTCTACTCTATTTTCTGTGTATTTTTTTAAAATCCCTCTCCATCTCTCTCATGTTTTCTACTCTGTTGCAATATCTTTCTCTTTTTAGTGTTCAAAGTTAACTGATATGAATAATAATAATGATAGTAAAACAGTGCTTATAAAGCGCTTTCCACCAAAGTCTCTGTTAGCAACTTACCACATGCTCATACATACATGTAAATATCATGAAATGTAATTCCCTTATATCCATACTTTTTGAGTAATTGAAAATGTAATGACTAGGATGACATTTCAATTGACATATGTTTAAAAACTGTTTATGATATATGGGTTAAACACTGTAGAGAAGATGCTTAGTGTCTGAGCTCATGTATGACGTAAGTGTTCTATGGAAAGACATCCATTTAAATATTCTGCTCTCCGCTGTTTTAGTCGGTGAGTATTAGGGTCCATTTAGGGTGATATTTTCAACTTTGAAGTGCATAGAGTCACATTGGATTTGCATTATAGTATTAAAGATAATGTTCATTTATTCAGAATTCATTAAACATGGTAGCCCCATCAGTAATTAAGATACTGTTGTGGATAGTAGTATTGTGGTGGTGGATATTTTTCCTGACTGCTAAGAAAGCATAAATACTCGTAAGTAAGCAACCAGACGGTGGACGGCTTTAGGTCCTCTCCGAGGGACCTGGTAATGAAGATTAATGCCTTACCAAAGGGCACTAGCGCATTGACTTGGTTTCGAACTCGGGTCACCGGATTACGAGACCACTGCTCTACCAACTGAGCTATCGCGCCTCCCTATCGTTGTCCTTGGGGTCCTGTTTAACATAAATATGAATTACAACATTGGTATTGACTGTAAGATTCTATGAAATCTTTTCTCAGAACAACATCGCAGAAGTGAAGACATTGAGGGATAACCTGAAGAGAGAAGACTTCCTCAAACACTGCAAGTAAGTATCTACATTCACTCAATATCCTTGTCATAATACTAACCTGAACTTGTACTCTGCAATTTTACTGTGATGAGTGCAAGAGGATAAGCTCTAGTATGTCTGTATTCATATGCAAGCAGTTTTTATTCTCTCTTCCCCTCACGTACATTCTTGTTCTTTCTTGCTCTTCCTTCATTCCTTTCTGGTCTATCATCTTACTCTGCTATCTCCTCTTCTTTAGCATCTTACCTTTGTCATAATGTATTCAAATGTGTTTGTAAATCTGATTGTTTTTTAACATTTACAATAACATTTGAATCTTGAATCGCTATTCTCTTTAAGAGTATTTAAAGTTTTGATTTAATCTTTTTTTCTTAGACGACTGCTAGAGAATGATCAGATTGAAGTGAGCTACTTTGCAGCTGGGATTGTGGCACACCTACTCAAGGATGGTGAAGATACGTGGGCCTCGAAACCTCATCTAAGAGAAGAGTTCCAGCAGTCACTGGTAAGCAAGTACAGTCAAACCTGTATATAAAGACCACTCATGGGCCTCTAAACCTCATCTAAGAGAAGAGTTCCTGCAGTCACTGGTAAGCAAGCAAGTACAGTCAAACCTGTATATAAAGACCACTCATAGGAGACCAGAAAAGTGGCCTTCATAGGCAGGTGGCCTTTATGTACAGGTTTGTTTAGTACATGTTTCAATGGTAAACACTATTCAAGGGAAACAGAATTATTATTATTATTATTTTTTTTTAGACAGGTAGTCTTTTTATGCCTCCGCTACGAAGTAGCCGGAGGCATTATGTTTTCGGGTTGTCCGTCCGTACGTACGTACGTACGTCTGTACGTACGTCTGTACGTACGTCTGTACGTACGTACGTCCCGTTCTCGTGATCGCGTTATCTGAAGAACCGATTAATGGATTCCTGCCAAACTTTGGTCATGTATGTATCTTGCAAAGCCGATGAATTGATTAGATTTTGGGGTCACGAGGTCAAAGGTCAAAGGTCACAGGGCTCATTATGTATACAAAAACAGCTTGTGATCGCGTTACCTGAAGAACCGATTGATGGATTCCTGCCAAACTTTGGTCATGTATGTATCTTGCAGAGCCAATGAACTGATTAGATTTTGGGGTCACGAGGTCAAAGGTCAAAGGTCACAGGGCTCATTATGTATGCAAAAACAGCTTGGATCGCGTTATCTGAAGAACCGATTGATGGATTCCTGCCAAACTTTGGTCGTGTATGTATCTTGCAGAGCCAATGAACTGATTAGATTTTGGGGTTACAAGGTCAAAGGTCACAGGTCACAGGGCTCATAATGTACGCAAAAACAGCTCGTGATCGCGTTATCTCAAGAACCGATTGATGGATTCCTGCCAAACTTAGGTCATGTATGTTACTTGCAGAGCCGATGAACTGATAAGTTTTTGGGTTACGAGGTCAAAGGTCACAGCGCACATTATGTATGCAAAAGTAGCTTGTGATCGTATTATCATTAGAACAGATTGGTGGCTTCCTGCCAAACTTAGATCATTTATGTATCTTGCAGAGCCAATGAACTTAGTAGATTCTTGGTTCATAAGATCAAAGGTCATGGGCTCATTATTTATGCAAAAATGGCTTGTGAACGCATTCTCATTAGAACTGACAGATGGATTACTATTTAACTCAGGACATCTTGCAGAACCAATGAACTGAGTAGATTTTAGGGTCATGAGGTCAAAGATCAGAGGGTCATATACATGAGAAATTGCTTGTAATCACGATATTCTGAGAACCTGTTAATGGATTACAATTGAACTTGAATTTGACAAATTTCTTCCGTTTCAGTTTGTAAAATTCGCTATGACGGAGGCATCATTTTTGACTGCGCGCAGTCGAATTCCATCTAGTTATACAGGTTTTTGCTGAAGCAGGTTTCACTGCAATAACATCATCCAAGAAAGAAACTGTATGTGGAAGTAGTAATCTTCATCTGAAGATTTAATAACTGATAACCGTGACACTGTTGCAATGCCGTAATTAAGGCAGTTCTACATGTACAATATATGAGTGTCCATTGCATGGTATCAAAAATTCAGTCTCCCATCTTTATTTTTTTAAAATTCCACCGGGATTGTAAACGTCACAATTTTGTAGATCTCTTGTCTGTCGCTGTCTGTCTCCCCTCTCCTTCTCCTTTCTCCTTCTCCTTTCTCCTTCTCCCCTCTCCTTCTCCCCTCTCCTTGTACCCTCTCCTTCTCCCCTCCCTCCTTCTCCTTCTCCCCTGCCTACCGGCTTCTGTCTCTTTCCCATATCTCTCTCCCTCCTCTCTCATGCACCTGTATCTTATTTATGATACGTTTATCCCTTTGCCTTATTTCAACAATGTGCTCTAACTTAATAAGACTGGTATCATTTCTTTACAGCATGACAGCATCTTGAAGTGGAAGAACCCAGCAGGAGAGATGGTAGCCTACCGGTCTTTCAGTCCATTCTTCCCTCTCTTGAAATGCTACAATATCCCTGAAGTTCAGCTCTGGTCAGTTTGGGCTATGCAACATGTCTGCACGAAGAATGGTGAGAATTGAATCTGAAGAATACATTAATCTATCAGCTATGCTTAACTTAAAGATAAAGACCAGTTATGGTCATGCGATTGCATTGTGAAAGAAACATTGTGGAATCGATCAGAAAAGGTTGATCATCTAGCATATAAGTATTGGTGTGTACTGCAAGGTTCTGGAACCATCAAAATGATAAGAAATTTGGCCCAGTCTTGGTAAAGTTACAAGTACTGTACACAAAAAGATGTATATGGGACTATGTGACATGTGCTCGATATCTATTAGGTCCAAATAGATATAATAATTTACCAAATATATCAAGTAGTAGGCGGTTTCTCGGCAAAATTTGTATCATCATGCAGTAGTCAAAACATATTCTTTCACATGATTGGTAATAAGATCTTCCATTTCATTTTTTTGAGAGGGGGCATTTCCAAAACTGGTCTTTACCTTTAAACTAAGAAACAAATGTGCTACCCAACAGAGAATGGGCTATGCAAAAAGAGTTGTGAGAATTCAATCAGTAGCATGTATTTATCCGTGGACCACTAAAAGGCATTTATCTTTCTGCTAGGGTAGGTGTAGGCTATGTATTCATGTCTGCACAATTGGTCAAATACGGCATCAAACAATTCATAGTTCTATTCTATTTCTTATTCTTGACCTAGGTGTAATATGTGTTGTTATTTTACCTGCTATCAAATATACTGTCAGGATATGTACCACATATTTTGGGTTATTATAACTGATTAGTTTTTTATATTTACCATTTGCAAAGCATAAGAAACATGCATGCTTTTCTTCAAGGAGGGACACTATCGATATATTGTCCAAAAAAAAAAATTGAGAACAAAAAACTTCAATGCGAACGTTGTGAACAAGTTTCAGTTACAACAGAAACTCACAAGATGGACAAGATACATAAGGACACATGACAGTTTCCCCCGCCCCCCCCCCCCACTCGAGTGTTATTTAGGGTACGCGTATGCATGTTCCCTACCTTTGAAAGCACCCCCTATCTCTGGTGTGTAACGTCAATATGGACCAGACTTTGTTGCGTGAAAAGTACCCCTTTACTGGACATTTTGGTAACACAAATGCGGTCGGGGGGCTTATCCCAAGAAGTCGTTATCGACATGATATTGAATGTATCATGTATTTAATTTGAGTTTGAATTCATCATTAGGTATGATATTTGCTATGTTTCTATTCGCAGCGAGTCGCTACTGTCCCATGCTGGTGACTCAAGGAGGCGTGGATCTACTGAGTGAGATGGTAGCACAACCACACCTACATCCCGATGTACATAGAGTTGCCACAGGAGTCCTGGAGGTAGTACGGCAGAGTAGGATCGCTGTGGCCAGTCCTTGTGAGATCAAGAGGAAATGAATCTACCAATGTCTTTCATCAATGGCTTATGTCTTATTGGCACGTTCTATGTGCAACATCTCCTGCCAGCCAGCCAGCCAGCCAGCCATGCATTTTACCGTTGCAAAGTTCTCTTGGTTTTCAAACGAATTGTTTGAAGGAGAAAGATGGTTTTTATGATTGTTCTAATAGTACTAAGATGTGGGTCAGAGAAAATGAAATTTTAATTGCACTGCTCGCTCTCTCTCAGAATAACCAACTGTTCAATGGAAGGAGCATATTTCACTCTTTATGAAATATGTTTCAACGTAAATGTTTTATCACCATGTACTGTCTATGAGGAATCATTCTAACTGGTTGGGAAGCCCTTATCAAGCACTTGCCTCGATGATAATTTCATTAATGATCTTCATAATAAAAATAACAGTTTACTTTGCATGCAGCAATATGTCCATTCCACGTTACTGATCAAGGCACTTGACAGTCTAGACTTGCCCGTTCAATGGATTTCAGAATAACAATAATAATCATAATAGGTCTTGTTTACCCAGGGTAGCCTCATCAGTATTCATACTGTTCTCCCTGAGGGCCCTGCAATCATATTATTACCCCGGTCATCGGATTCAGGCTTACCCGCACACAATGTATGCAAATTCTCCATTCCCTGGGGAGCGTTCCAGCCAGTGCATCATTTTTACCAATGCACACTTGCTAATCTAAGCACATTAGCTTTCGCATCCTACTTTCTTGATGTAATGATATCAGTCACTTGATAGTAAGGTTCATATTACTGAGAAGGGCCATTCTAGAGATATTTCCTCTAGTTTTATTCTCAAATTACCTATGGAAAACAAAAGACTTTAAAAACCTAGACATGTCCCTCTTCAAACATTCTAGAACATCAGCTTTAAAAATGATTGATTTTATCCCCCCCCCCCCTTTGAAAAGAATACCCTCCCTGCACCTTTCATAATGCACACATGAGAGTATACATTTGTAGGATTACATGAACATAATGCACTCAGTAGATTTTAAGTGTCTAAATGTCCTTTGTCGGCTAATACTTGATTGTAACCAGTGACACTCTATATCACTAAGGTACCTTAAATTGCACATTAAACCTATGATGTAGTAACAATTAAGGTTATTACAATTGTAATAATTCCTTATTATTCCTATATGCTGAGGGGTGAATATTATAGTCTTGTTAAATGTATAGTTTTGAACAATCCACAGTATTTCAAACTAACTGTGCATTTCATATTATATGTGGTTATAGTTGGACAAATTTCATTAAGAAATATACATGTTTGTAAAATGAAAATGAAATCAGGGGGAATGATAATCAGCATAGAGGCGAAAAGCCAACTGAATCACTGTAACCCCCGGGTCTCTCCTCCCTGTATAACTGATTGAAGGTGTGCAGGTGGGCCACTACACCGGGGTTTCCCCCTACTTTTATACAAATAGTGCAGTGGGGTCTTTAAGTGCAAAGGTGGTGAGGGTCTATGCTTCTGTTGAATATGTGCCCCTTTCCCAATGTCAAAAAGGGCTTTTAAAAACACAAAAACACAAAGACTCCTGAAAATGTGTGTATGAATATATTCACATGGACATTATACAGTGTACCATTATTTTCCAACCATGAGCATTCTATATTTATGACATGGCACTGTGGGGTAGTGGGTCATTCAAATGACTTAAGGTTAATCCAGGATTTAGAAGGTTGATTCCCAACTCTTGGTGCTTGTTTCCTTAGACAAGGCATTTTCTCTACATTCATCTCTCTTGACACAGGTGTAGTGATTATCTAGAATTCCACGAGTTCTTGTTTTTACAGCAAGGCTAAGTCCAGGCTTGTATTAAGAGTTGCAGGACATGAGCGCTATATAGGGAACTATTATTACTTTTATGATTAGGAATGTATTGTGACAGAAGTAAGCGGTGACTCTTTGAGAAAATGTATGAATGAATGAATGATGTAACTCATACAGACTCCTCTCCCCCTCCCCCTCCTCCCATTTATATCAGACAGTTGGAGGACCTATGAATTAGAAAACATCATAGACAGTTACATTTGCATGAAACTTCGGTTTGTATCTTCTATAGAACATGTTTTTAATACATTGTCTACTGTTGGTATGTTACAGGAAGAAATAGACTTAGCATCAATATCATTACGTGTCGACTCAGCGATCTATTTATTATCTAAGGCATCATTGATCATACAATGATACCTTTACATTAAGACTGCACAAGGGAGATGAATAGAGTGGTCTTTATAGGCAGGCACAATAATGTTGCATCCATATTTCAAATTTAATCGTTCATAACAATATCCCACATGTTGTTGTTAGTAATGCACCTGAATTTGTTTGTACAAAGAAAAAAATCTACTTGAGATTGAGCTAAACCGAGTGAGGTGTGATTGGAAGTAATGTAATAAACACTCAATTACCACTGAGGAAGCAATAGTTGTGTATTTTAGCTGTATCATTTAACACCCCCCCCCCCCCCCACCCCCATATGTACTGCCCTCAACATGTCATTTTATGATACTGGTGCATCCAAGATGGCCATAATTGTTTGTCACTTTTCAATTAGATAATCCCAGGGCCCCGTCTGAATAGAGAGTTGCGATTAATCACAATATATTAGCGGTTGATATCATTCGGACGCCAACGATGTACATAAGAGATAGGAGAGTGCAAGCGAGAATTTGATTTCGATCTATCACAAGGCCTTAGAAAACAGGCCCAGCTAGGACAGTCGTTTATACTTCATTCTTACATAGTATCCTGCTTTGTGTTGGCTATAGCTGTCATATATTTATTCTACAGCTGCTAGTATATGCTGCCATCCACATTTTTCGTTTTTTTTTTGCTCTGTATCATATATGTGTCATCATCTTTGTATAATTTGGACTGATACATTTGTATTATGAACTTGGTTTGATCACTTTTATCTTGAAGCATTTTGTTTGGTAATTTGTACATTTTGCATTGCATATTTAATGTTTTGATCAAGACATGGCAATAATTCTTAGAATCCCTACATGTATGAGATCTGTTTATTTCATATAATTTCATGCCATTTTTCAATTAATTTTCATGTACATGTATTTGTAAGTACTTCTACTCTAAATTGCTCTGCATCTATACAGAATCCACTCATGAGATCCTGGCAAAAACGTTTTGGTCAATTTTAGGGCCATTTAGATACACTGTTATAAGGAAGCAATTCTGTGTTACAAGAGGGAATCGTAATGCCTACATAATACACAAGATAGAGAGCCCGGCTTTCACATGGCCTCAAAATTTATTTCTTGAAATGACTTCATGCATTTACTTAGATGAAGTTGAAATAATGGTTGTTCAGTATAGTTCATCTTATTTCGCATTTTGTGAAATTTTTGTTATTGCACAAGACAAGTAACGCTCTCCAAGTCTAAAATGCAACCTGGGCCCCATTTCACAAAACTTGTCATCAGTGAAAAATGACAGTTTTTGTTTTAAGCTAGTGAAATTCTTGCTTCTGATTGGTTATCAGCAGATTTGTCACTGATTTTTGTCATTTGTCATTGAAAAAATGCTTTGTGAAACGGGTCCCAAGTTACATACATGTACATTCATGATTGAATACCCCTGTCCTTGCCTAAAGACAAAACAAGAACTTGTTTTACAAGATCATTTTGTACTCCCTTGTGATGTCATCTGGTATCGTTACATATCAACACCTGAATCACAATCTAATGCTTTTTACCTCACTTTTCTTTTTCTCTTTTCATCTGTAAGTTTTATTTCTTGCCTCTGGTATGAAAACAATCTGGGACCCGTTTCACAAAGCTTTTTTTTCAATGACAAATGACAGAAATCAGTGACAAGTCTGATAACCAATCAGGAGCAAGGATTTCAGTAGCTTATTACAAAAACTGTCATTTGTCACTGATGACAAGTTTGGTGAAACACTCCCCTGGTGAATCTCATATGGCATAGTGCAGAATAGGCATGTCTTTGGACACCTCATTAACAGATGTGATATTTTTTTTATTTAAAGGGAATGGGTTGACAGATTTGATTCAATAAGGGATATGTTAATGAACACATATTGTAGATTTCTTGTTTCCAATGTGAAATCTCATCTTAGTTTTCCTAATGAAACAGCTTGATCATAAAGGTATTCACTTTCTTCAGAACCCATGCTGCATGAAAGCAATCAGTCTTTGCAGAATGTAATGAGAGTTGAGAGTTGAAGTGGAAAATGATAATTTATATACTTCATTTTTATCTCGGAAACTCCAAATCGTAGCAGTGTATATGCTGGAACACCATGAATCAAGTCATGTAGCAAAATTTAGTGAATTTAATCCTAGAATTGATTTTGTTAACACTTGAATACTTGCAGTGGGATAATTGAGAGATTATCATGTGATTTCTTTTGTTTGTTTTTGATATTGTTATGTAATGGAGCAAATGTGCATATTGTTTTGTCTTCCTTTCTCCACAATCCACATGCAGTGCAATTTATACTAACACAATATACATAGAGTCATTTGGAATGTCACATATGTAAACCAGGGGATCGGGTATGAGAATGTACTTAGTTATAAGTGCACAATGTAACTGCTATTCTTTCTTTTTTTTCATTTAATCTCACATTTGCTACTTCAACCATCATTACTTTTATACACATTTGCATATAAACACCAAACTTTTATGTAACTGTAAGCTCATTAAAAGATACATTTCAATGATTTTTGTTTGTACGTAGGTGTTAGAAAATTTACACCCCCCCCCCCCCACAAAATAAAAAAAGAAAGCCCATGAAGGCAAGTGTAGCACATTTGAATATTGAGCGAGATAACTGCTATACATGTTCATATACAACAATTTTTGTTTTCCATTTGATGAAAGTGATTTAGTGATATCTTAATGACCCATTATTTTCTCCTCTTAGAAAATTCTATGAAAGAAATGTTTTATGTATCGTAGACAAATGCAAAGAAACGTGAGACTATGGATTTAGTTTACTGTGAGTCTGATGGATGGATTGTGTGTGATTAATTCTCATGTCTTTTTATAATGGCATTGATTCAAATTTGTTATGGTTGTCTGAAGATGACTACTGTTTAGTAGAATCTATATGTGCCCAACTACATAATATGCATGAAGTATCAAATAGATAATGGTTCAAGATAGAAAATGAGAAGAATGGTATTGTTAATTGAGGCTCAACAATTTCTTTCCCTCTTGTATTTGATGTTAAGGCTGCTCTGGGCCCCATTTCACAAAACTTGTCATCAGTGACAAATGACAGTTTTTGTTACAAGCGAGGGAAATCCTTGCTTCTGATTGGTTATCAGCAGATTTGTCACTGATTTTTGTCATTTGTCATTGAAGAAGGGCTTTGTGAAACGGGTCCCTGGTCTTAAATTGCCTTCATCTTGAAATGCCATTCTTTGGAAGGATTTCTCGAATTCTGTGACAAGCCGTTGTGATTAAGATTTAACTGATTGACTTTTATAATGGCTTAAATATGTAGAGATTAGGCAGTATACCTAGTACAAGTTATCTTAATCCCAGGATGTCATTGGTGTATTTGGCAAAGAATATTTGTGAATTCCATGCAAGGAACTTCGCTCTAAATGAAACAAATGGACTCGTCCATCTTGCTTTCTTACAACTACATGTATGTGAATCTGTATGAAGTGTATGTCACATAGCCTTTGATTCCAAACAATTTTGTTAGATTTGAAGTGGTCTTGCTTTGCATGAAGCCCGGCTGTATGTAAGACTACCCACTAATGGATTGACTTGGAGTATCCTGGTTCATGTATAACTATACCATTTGTAATGAAATAACCCTTGAATTTAATAACTTGTCAGTTGCGCTACCGTATTTATGACATTTTCCAATGTTACTTTTCTCAATAATATATGTATGTATTTGAAGGACAATTTGAATTGCTGGAATTGAAAGTTTATAATATGCGATTGCTGGATACGGGATGTAATTCTGCAATTTTTCTTCTAATCAAATGAACGAGACGTGTAAGCGAAAGTATGAACCGAGAGAGAAAGAGAGAAAGAGAGGCCCTGGAAATATCTATGTATATTAATATGGGAAAATGACAATGAAATTAAAGAACATGATTGAATTGAAAACTACTGATGGCATCAACTGTGTTTTTATTCTGTTCTAACTCCATGCATTTGTGAGTGTTATCGATTTTTATGTCAGTTTTTAAGTACATGTCTTTCCCAATACCTCTGCTAACTTTTGTTAAAACTTGTTCCTCAGCCACACCGCCTAACCGACTCCACATCGCATGCCTAACCGACCGATTCTTGGCCATTGAAGGCAATGTAATCAATCTGTTGTCGATCTCAAGTCGGTCTGAAGTTTGTCTCGTTTGTATGACTGGGGTTTCACTGTTTCTAATATATTTGAACCTCATTTCTTTCTTTTTCTTCAGTCTTATCTCCTTCCTTATCATTTTCTTCTGTTTTGTACCAAGCCACATTATACAGTGCTCTGTCATTTTATCAAAATACACGAGGACAGGTGTGAAAAATAAAGATTGGAGATAGAGAAGAAGATCTTGAAAATTTGAAATTTACACAGATACAATCTACACTGTAAAAAAATAATAGTCGAAATAACTCAATAAAATTGAGGAAAAGAATTGCCTTATTTTTATTAAGTAAATATAACCTACGGCATCTTAAGTAGAATTTACTTATTTTGCTGAATAAATTTTTACTCATATATATATATATATATATATATATATATATATATATATATATATAAAATATATTATATCTACCACCATCACAAACTATTACATACGCTTCAATTCGACACATATTGAAAGGCTCCAAATTTTATATATACTTGATCGTAGCATCTTAAAAGGAAAATTGGTTGACAATTTCCTGAAATATCAAGTTTTGATTTGTTTTTAACTGGGTAACAATTAAAAATTGTCTTGTCTTTGCTTAGCCATGTTAAATGAATTAGTAAATGTTTTGAAGTCCTTAAATTTTCATTCAACCACAAAAAAGAATTGTTTTATTTAAAAAAGAGTTTAATTTGGTCTTAATGAATATTCATAAATTATGTAAATATTTCTATTACGCACTGCATCGGTCCTTACTTTAAAAAGATAAGAATAATCAACATAAATTGTTTGAGTAATACGTATAATTTCTGATTTTGAGTTAAAATTACTAAATTAATACAAGCTAAAAATTACTTAAAGTTCTTATGTATTTGATTTTACTTAAATATTCCACGTATGTTCTACTAAATTGAAAGTTTGAGTTAGCAAGACTTAAATTTAGTGCGTAAGTGGCTAAACTAATGTTTTCAAGTAAATTCTACATGGAAAAAATACGTAAAAATTACCAATGAACAAATTCTTTTTTACAGTGTAGGAAAATTGGAAGGAAGACGAAAGACAGAGGTTTATGATCCAGTAGACAGATGATGAAGAAGAAAAGAAGTCAATAAATACACATACTAACGATTGAAAAGACAGAGAGTAATGCTATCAAGAGAAATATGAGTCACAAGGTTCTTAGGGGGAACTTTGTTAATTTTGTTTATCCCTTTCAAACGCCAAAAGCTGAGCTATTCAAAGCCCCAAATGCACTTCCGTAGACTATTTACATGATTTGGACAGGAGGAGGGTTAACATTTTTACTTGGAATAACTACCTGGCTCCTTTCCCTGTGTATACATGCCCTCCTCCTTTATGTTCCACCTCTGTTTTTTCAGTAAATAGAAGAATGTTGAGCAAAAGGAATTAAACTCATTATGATGATAGGCCCGAATTCACAAAGGAGGTTTGTCGACAAACCTAGGTTTATGTACGTCATAATTACGATGACGCGTTTTGACGCGTTTTTTACAAACCTGGTTTGTAAAAACGCGTCAAATGACGCACGAAAACCTAGGTTTGTCGACAAACCTCCTTTGTGAATTCGGGCCATACAGCCCATGATTTGATAGATTCCGTGCAATGTGCCCTGTGGGTGTATTATCCACATATCTCTTCATAATTATGACTATTCAATTCAATTCAATTCAATCAAGGTTTTATTCAAACGTGTGAAATATGGACATAATTTATGGGGACACACAGCGCGCAATCGCCCTAAACATGAATGATTTCCTGTATGTATAATGGAATGTCCTAGGAAGGTTAGAGACTCGATTACAATGCCAATCATATTGATTATAATGTGGCGTCGAGGTATTTTGATTATAAAAGGCAACATCGACGTAATTGTTTTGTGTTGAACCGTCGTAGTGTACATTCATTGAAAATGATGAATGTCTTTTATTTCTGTCCCTGTGGACTCGGCGGTCTATACAATCAAGTTTAAATCTACCACTGCATAGAACATAATAACACCCGATTATGATAGTTGTATTTACAAGAGTGCACGAATATAATCGCCATCATTATTGACGATATCGAAAGAAACTATCTAAGTTCTGATAGCGAATATGAATTGTAATGAAACTTGTTGAATATGTTTTCATATCGTACGAACTAATTTAAAGTAATTCTTAACCAAACGATAACGTCGAGAAAAGAAAGGATACGGATTTGGAGGGGATCGAGATCAGAATTTCTTGTAAATGCTCTGTTAGTTTATGGACGAATTGATGAGTGAAGGAAGAGGGAGAGAGCGTGATAGAAAGAGAAAGAGAGAGAGAGAGAGAGAGAGAGATAAAAAAAAAAAAAATGGTAACGAATGACTAGTTCTTTTTTATTTGCTGCAAATATTTGTAATCACCGGAATGTGAAGACAGATTGTTTAGTTATATCTATCTCAGTGTTTACTTTCACAAATCTCTCTTTATTCCGCTAAGAAAAGGAAATGGGATCCTTAATATCATTTGGAGTTGCAAATATCAAAAATTAAATCAGCGCCCCGCCCATCTCTCTCTCTCTCTCTCTCTTTCTCTCTCTCTCTCTCACTCTCTCTCTCTCTCACTCTTTCTCTCGTTATCTCTCTCTCTCTCTCTCTCTCTCTCGCCTCTCTTTCTCCTTCCCCTCCCCCTCTCTCCCCTCGGGACTCTCCCCCTCTCTCTCTCTGTTTGTCCCTCTCTCTCTCTCTTTCTTTCTTTCTCTCCCTCTCTCTCTCTCTCTCTCTGGCTCCCTTCCTCCCTTCCCCTCCTCTCCCCCTCTCTACCCCCATCTCGGTCAATCCCCCCCCCCTCTCTCTCTCTCTCTCTCTCTCTCGTTCTCTTCCTTCCTGTTTGCATTCTTCACAACTGGCAATGAGCACATTTTTGTCTGTCATGATCTACCCTTCTACCCCCCCCCCCCCCCCCCTCCCACTCCACCCCTAGGCGACGCGACGTCACAGTCCCACGTCAATGTACGGTGATCATTCTCCTTCAAAGCATTGTCGAATAAATGCCCTTTGATCATGCACACCCACTCACACGGTCTGTGCCCTGAATGGCGCAACCCAAGCACACCCCTTTCCAAAAGATTATTATTTGAGCAGAGAACAATGAGAAAACAAATGAAAATCGAACTTAATAAGACGAACAATGACAAAAAGACCAGTTGAACCGCATTCCCACCGATACGTACATGCACGCTCTAGCTAGTCGTCTTTGCACGGAATAATACTGCGCTATTAGACTGTGCAAGGACAAACACAAAGATCTTGGAAAAAACAAACGAACTAACCAAGTGAGGTACACTTGTTGAATTTGTGTAAGCTGACAGACTTGCTTAGTTCTTCATATTGAGTTAATGATACATTAACATGTCTTTGGAAGACGTCTGATCATACTAGCACAAGAAGACAAGTTGATCAACCATTAAGACAAACCAAGGGATTCCTGGCCCGACCAAGTGGAATCTGATCTGAAACAGTTTGGATATTTATCGTCTGCTAAGAGAACAGGATGAGCCTGGAAGGCGGTAAGTTTTTATCTGGAAATGGAACTAAATTGTTGACAGAACCAAAAGAGATTAAGGCACGGTCATGATGGTAACTATATGGGATTTGATTGCAAAGTTAAAATAAATATTAAGGGGAAATAATATGTAGTTGGATTTAGCAGAAACAAAATATCAGAGAGAAATGCATGACGGATAGAGAATGAGTTTAGAAAAACGGACAAAGAATGAAAGAGTTATGAAGTTCTGAAAGTTGAGAGAGAGACATGCAAATCTCCTATTCGAAATACGTACAAGCAGAACTATACTCGGCTGTGAAATTCCAACAGGAACCTCCTTTCTATTTTAATGATAAAGTTGACATTTTTACCATGATAATCATGAATATCAGTGACGCATTTTTATATTTCCTCTCGCGAACAAAATATCCTCTAAAGCAATTGAAAACAAGATTTTTTTGAGTAATTTGGGTAATCTTTCGATACAATCCTTTTCAAAATCTATTTTAAAAAAAAATGTCTGTCTGAATGCTAACTATTTGAGCACTATTCAATGCAATAGTTGCAAATCCATGGTTTCTATGAGCTGTAAAATGACAAAGCTTTCATTGGGGAAATGTATATGAATATATTATCATGATGCATGGATGGATATGGTCTTAACGTAACCTCCCCCGCAAACACCCAAGCCTCCCTATACAACACACCTTCATTATTGCATACATTTTAAAAGTAATTCTGAGTCAAATATAAATATTGAGGTCATTTGACACACTGTATTCATTTTAATCAGAATTAAAATTGGAATATTGTACATCCAGATGTCGTGTAGCTAGATGATAAAAGGGAGAATACCGAAAAGAAATAAAAAGATAGAGGAAGTCTGAGGTGCGGGAGAGGGGCTTGTAAAGTCTACCTACCTCAAAGTAATGGGCGTAACTGATTAAATACGAACTATTCTTCCCATTATTTCCATTTTGACTGTCATATTGGGGGTCAACTTCTGACTAAATACGTGATGTCATATTTTCTGCCCCATGCATTTGCTCTTTGCTTGTACTGTTTCATAACTTTTTTCTCAATAGTTTTTTTAAATTGATTCCAAATAATACAAATTAATCTTGGAAATAAAATACAGTTGTTTTTCCTTGACATGAATTCAAAACATTTTCATTACATAGATTGTACAAATTATTGATGAAAACAAAAATGAAATCAGTTTTAACATAAAACAAATAACCCCATCCAACCAAACACACTACTACCCCCCCCCCCACCCCCCCCCCCCACCATGCGACACACACACAACTCGACCCCACTGCCACCACAATAATAATAATAATACAGGTGATAGTCGCAATGTATAGATCACACTTGCTTTTCGAGGGGGTAAACTACACACACAAAATTAATGATTCTATCTTGTTTTGAGTACTTTTTGTTGCACAGGCAGTAATAATCACGTCATTCGACATTTGTTCGTTTAATTTAATTGATTATTAAGTTTAGAGCAAAGCTCCTTTAAAGACCCACTGCACTACTTGTAGCTACTTGCGCCCTCTATATAACAAACAATGCTTAATCGGTGACCATTGGTCCCCCATGATCCTCTTTTTCTTATGTTAACTGAGAGCTGAGTTGATGAGATAACCACCTGTCCAGTGACCTTGTAGGGCGGTCTAATCCCTCCTGTAAACTATGGCAGATAAGCTTTAAGACATTGTAAGACATGTTGTGACGTACAGGACTAGACCCTTCAGACAACAACAACATCAACAATAACAACTTAAGCAAACGCAACAAACAAACAAATAAGTAAACAAACGAAATATACAATTATTCGCCTTGGATCAGTCAAAATATACACGTTCATGGTTTGTTAGTGCTTCATCTTCTTCAGATAGAGAGTCTTTGTAAGTTTTTTTTAAAATTTCAATTCCTGTTAACGCTAGTTCTCGGCGCTATTGGGGAATTTTTATTTCTATTTGATTAAAGCCTCATCTAGATGCTGAATACGCGTTGATGAGTATTACCATAGAAGTAGAAGTAGAAAGCAATGTTGGAGATATTAAAGTGAAACAGTCTTTTTCACACGTTAACAATGACTCGAATCTGTGTCTCCGAAAAGACCGCTCAGTATGTGGCCTAACAATATCATTCCAATTTTGATTGTAATCTCGCTCTCCGTCATCAAATTAGACAAAAGTCAGTCGTACAGAATAGACCCACTGCCTCTGAAATGTCTGTATGTTTGCTCATAATCACACCATGGGCCCAACCCTCTCCACTCTCTTTCATCTTAGTTTGCCATCCGTGACTTTTACCTTGAACTTTAATAGTGCGTTCTCATATATTACACTTCATAACAATACACATTCTTTAATAATATATCTCATTGTAAATGACAGATCACAGAAAGAATAGCCTGATCATGCGATGTGACTCTCTCCCGTTGTGTTAAAACACCCAAATAAGGTTACAATATTCTTTAGTTAGCTCAGTCAGACTGATGGATCAAAATAATAAAATTTAAGTCTATTATCTATGCATATTGTTCTCAAAATACATTCACACTATGCAGATTATATTTATATACGTGCATGGGAATGAAATCCTTTGATAAAATGTGGGAAATAAAAAAAATTGTTTAAGAGATCCATTCAACTCTAGAAGAATTCTATATTTATGTCATTACAATATTAGTCTTATGGGGCGTTGCAAGAAACTTGCAATCAATTGCAAATCCCCCAAAGCAAGCGTAAGTCTTGCGATTAATTGCAAATTTGCAATTGATCGCAACTGAAGTAATGCCTGGCTGGAATGCTCCCCAGGGTGTGGAGATTGTGCACACAGTGTGTGCGGGCAAGCACTTGATCCAATGACCGGGGTAATATTATATCTGTAAAGCGCTCAGAGACGTCCCAGATGTATTAAGCGCTATATACAAATTGAATATTATTATTATTAACTCAACTTTCTTGCAACGCCCCATTAGTAAAGAGAGAGAGAGAGAGAGAGAGAGAGAGAGAGAGGGGGGGGGGGGGGATAACAACAACTTTTAATTCTAATTGTTAAAACTACTATCCAAAAAAAATCCTAGGAAATTTATAGGAGACTAGTGGGGCGTTGCAAGAAAGTTGACTTGCAACGATTGCAAATATCAGTTGCAAATTTTGCAACTTGCAATCAATCGCAACTTTCTTGCAACGCCCCATTAGTATTACAATGTGCTGCAGTCTGTGATGTTCAACATAGTTTTGAATGTTGAGAATAATCGACCTTGCAGGAGAGAAGTTCTGGATTTTTCAGTTTAGTTTCAGTTTAGTTTCCTTTATTTTACATGAAAACAAAATATACAATACATTAACAAAACATAGCATATTTACAAAATTGATATTCGTGAACAATAGAGACATCTACATAGCAAAAGTTTGTATGGCATTTACACTAAATAATTTCGAAATTACCTGTGAAAAAGGGGAACTTAATAAACAAGCATAATAGCTTGTAGAATTTAAGTTCCTTAAAATAATGTTGACACAGTGTCATTCATAATAAGGTAGAAGTATAATAATAACAAAAGCAGAGTATACAGACAAAAACAATGAAATGATATGGATTATGATGGATGTAAGAAAGAAGAGAAATAGGAAGAGAAGGTAAAGAATGAAAGTCAGAAGAAGAATGAGGAGAGAGAAAAGGAAGTTTGTTCAGTTTATCATTCAAACGACAATCGTAGGCTTATTGATCCGCACACAATCCCGGCACACAATGTAGCTTTAGAATGTTTTGTTTGCATTTATTCCATACTCAAACACCTGTCAGTTCTTATATCTACTACTTGTCCATAAATCCATACACTAATACTCCGTTCTAATCGATTGATCTATACTCTCTGCATGTGGTCCTGACAGATACCAACAGTCATGTCTCATTCGAGCTCCATGACTTCACCGTCGTAACCCCGTCATCATCGGGCGATTCGCCACCGCCTCCGTACGCGACGAACTCGGACACGGCTAGCCTGAATGTATCCTCGGTGGGCCAGGGGGACATGATGGAGGATTCTTTCTCTGTGATCACTGAAAGCAGCACGGCATCGTATAACGCTGGTCATTCACGTGGTTTCTACGGGGTCGAGGATGACTACGACTACCCCGAGATCACACCCTCTGAAGTAAAGCTATGTTTTATTACTTGTACATGGTTAGGATTGGGCTTGCAATTGGGTTTTAGGTGAGGGTTGGGTTAGGGTTGGGCTTGCAATTGGGTTTTAGGTGAGGGTTAGGGTTAGGGTTATAGTTGGGTTTTAGGTTAGGATTATAAGTTAGGTTAGGGTTAGTGTTGCAACTGGGTTTTAGGTTAGGGTTGCAATTGGGTTTTAGGTTAGGGTTAGGGTCGTAATTGGGTTTATGTTTATGATTAGGAATTAGGGCTGTAATTGGGTTTTAGGTTAGGATTAGGGTTGTAATTGGGTTTTAGGTTAGGATTAGGGTTGTAATTGGATTTTAGGTAAGGAATATTGTGTTAGATTAGGGTTATGGTTATGGTTTTAATTGGGTTTTAGGTTAGGATTAGGTTTCTAATTGGATTTTAAGTTAGGATTATAGTGTTAGGTCAAGGTTATAATTGAGTTTTAGGTTAGGAATATAATGTTAGGCTAGGGTTATGGTTGCAATTGGGATTTAGGTTAGGAATATAATGTTAGGTTAGGATGAGGGTAATAATCGGTATTTAGGTTAAGATTAAAGTGTTATGTTAGGGTTTAGGGGTATAATTGGGTTTTAGGTGAGGGTTATAGGGTTTTAGGTAAAGATAATAGTGTTCGGTTAGGGTTATAGTTGTAATTGGGTTTTGGGTTAGGGTTAGGGTTATAGGGTTGCAATTTGGTTTTAGGTTAAGATTATAGTGTTAGTTAAAGGTTATAATTGAGTTTTAGGTTAAGATTATAGTGTTAGTTTAGGGTTATAATTGAGTTTTAGGTTAAGATTATAGTGTTAGTTTAGGGTTATAATTGAGTTTTAGGTTATGATTATAGTGTTAGTTTAGGGTTATAATTGAGTTTTAGGTTAAGATTATAGTGTTAGTTTAGGGTTATAATTGAGTTTTAGGTTATGATTATAGTGTTAGTTTAGGGTTATAATTGAGTTTTAGGTTATGATTATAGTGTTAGTTTAGGGTTATAATTGAGTTTTAGGTTAAGATTATAGTGTTAGTTTAGGGTTATAATTGAGTTTTAGGTTAAGATTATAGTGTTAGTTTAGGGTTATAATTGAGTTTTAGGTTATGATTATAGTGTTAGTTTAGGGTTATAATTGAGTTTTAGGTTAAGATTATAGTGTTAGTTTAGGGTTATAATTGAGTTTTAGGTTATGATTATAGTGTTAGTTTAGGGTTATAATTGAGTTTTAGGTTATGATTATAGTGTTAGTTTAGGGTTATAATTGAGTTTTAGGTTATGATTATAGTGTTAGTTTAGGGTTATAATTGAGTTTTAGGTTATGATTATAGTGTTAGTTTAGGGTTATAATTGAGTTTTAGGTTATGATTATAGTGTTAGTTTAGGGTTATAATTGAGTTTTAGGTTATGATTATAGTGTTAGTTTAGGGTTATAATTGAATTTTAGGTTATGATTATAGTGTTAGTTTAGGGTTATAATTAAGTTTTAGGTTATGATTATAGTGTTAGGGTTAGGGTTTCAGCTATTTTTTAAAGATTCGGGTAAGGGTAAGGTACAGCGTTTGATCAAGGGTTGAAGTTTCCCATAAAATGTGCTAATGATTCTTACTTATATTGATTATATTTCTGATTTGAATGTTACTGAATGCATTACAATAAAACCGTTAGGTTGATTTTACATTGAACAATATTTTGTCGTCAGTAAGGATAAATAGAGTTGATTACCGAAAATATCAATTCGTTTGTAGTCTCTACTTACTATTCTTTGATAATGAAGTTCATGTATGACTACTGTTTCTGTCTCTGATTATTGATTTAATTGTTATTATAATATATTTTGTTCTATGTTATCTATCACTGACAGGTCCGTAAAGTGACTTTAGAGAAAAATTTCCGTGGTTTTGGATTGACCGTAGCAGGAGGATCTGATAGTCCGTACGGGGTCTTACCTGTCTTTGTGACTACTCTAGATTCACGGGGACCAGCTGCTGAATCAGGAGTTGTTAGGGTAAGAAAGAAAGACCAGAACTTGGATACCTTTCGTTTAAGTCTCCTCACCCCTCCTCCTCCTGCTGCTCCTCCTGCTCCTCCTCCTCCCCTTCTTCTTCTTCTTCTTCTTCTTTTTCTTCTTCTTCTTCTTCTTCTTCTTCTTCTTCTTCTTCTTCTTCTTCTTCTTCTTCTTCTACTTCTTCTTCTTCTTCTTCCTCTTCTTCCTCCTCTTCTTCCTCTTCTTCTTCTTTTTCTTCTTCTTTTTCTTTTTCTTCTTCTTCGTCTTCTTCTATCTCCTCCTTCTTCTCCTTCTCCCTCTACCCCTCCTTTCCCCTACTCCTCCTCATCATCCTCGTCATCCTCTTCTTCTTCTTCTTTCCCTTCTTCTTCCTCTTCTTCCTCTTTTTCTTCTTCTTCGTCTTCTTCCTTCTCCTCCTTCTCCCTCTACTCCTCATTTCCCCTACTCCTCTTCCTCCTCTTCTTCTTCTTCTTCTTCTTCTTCTTTTAGTTGTTGTTGTTGTTGTTCTTTCTCTTTTTGTTCTTCTCCTGTTCTCAATCCTCCTCCGCTCCTCCTCCCCTCCTCCTTCTCCTCCTCCTCCTCCTAACTTTATCAAATACAAATTCTCGAAAATATTAATCCCCATTCCAATATCCAATTATATTGCGCATTTCTGAGGAGATTGTTTTTCATTTTACTAGTCTACAGTTTAGTATTTTCTAGATCGTTATCAATATTACATTCAATTTAATAGGTCAGATGCATTATGCTCTTCGTAACCAATGATTGTTTAAAGAATAATCCTCACATTATGGTCATCAACGATTGCCAAGAAGAACGACTTTTTTATGTTCCATATCATATCAGCAAAAGTTTATACTACATTTACGATTTCATTTCTATAGTGGCAATTTACCGCCTTTTGATGTAATACATAATTATCACGCGACATCCAATTAGCACCACTTAAATTTTAATTCACTGGTGCCATGCAAAATAAACCGGGTTTCTTGGTGGAATTTTGCGAGATGGGGAGAGAGAATAACAAAAATTGCGACCCATAAAATAAAATTTTACAATTATTCGCGAATTTGGACAATATTACGCGAGAACGGCCGTGGAAATATTGTGTCCATACATTTGCTTAATCTTCTTTCTATTTTGTAGATCGGGGATCGGATTGTGAGTGTAAACAGTCTTGAGATGGAAGGGAAGACTCACGCTGAGGTGGTGCATGCTATCAAACAATCGGGACGAAAGGTCATCCTTGAGCTGACAGAAGGGCCAGAAAACATCATGAACTATCTCGAATTCGATTAACTCGTTGACTACTGAATTCATTCATTGCCATGGGCTTAACACAGGAGCCAACCGGTTCCAGGAGGCAATGAGTTAACAGCACAATCAAAGGGGATTCGAATGCTATCCTAGTGCCATGTTGGACACTGGTTGTGAAGATTGGAAGTTATAACCGAGGAAAGCATCGGCAACGAGGAGGACTACGATTGATGCTGCAGTTTTGGGCTGAAATAACTCTTTATGCTGGCGAGGATGACGGCCAACATGGACTGTATTGCGTTTATGTATAGTCAGCAACCTTGTTAAATTGTATATGTGTGGCGGTGTAGGACATGTCTTATGTGTAATGTACACTTCTCCAATCCTTCATGAATATCTGTTTTAATTCTACAATGGTGAGTTTGTTCCCGATTAAATAAAGGTGCTCGCTGAAAAGCAATATGTTGTGCCTGATTGCGAGTTTTACCGTGAATAGATGAATACAATTCAATACAAGAAATAATATCTATTGCATATGACCAAAGCTTCTGGTAGGAATCGTAAGGTTTTTTTTTAAAGTGATATCGAAACGACTTAACGGGAATAAACAGAAATTGGGAATGGCGAATTCGTTTCCAGAGGAGGCCTGAGCATCCCTCCGCGACTTTCTGAAGCTTCTTGGGGGGGGGGGGGGGGGGAGGGGACTTACGCCGACTCTATTTTATGCTGCATATATACGCCTCTTGCTATAAATCTAAATTGTGCCTCTATCATCGTGTTGTCAATGTACCACCATGAAAAGCCATGCAGACAAACATCAAAGTAACAGCTGACATGAAACAGCTTGTTTTATCTGTTTGTCTGATGAAACTTTCTTAATAAGAAAATATCTTTATTTTAATAAGATAATATCTTTATTTCCATTCTTTTTTTTCTTTCCATGTCATAACACATGTGAATGAGGTATGCCTGAGGGTTGATATAAGGGATGTTTTATTCGTATTTAGTCATTTTATTAGAATATCGATGCATCTTGTTAAATCTGAATTTCCCTTTGAATAAAGAACATTTATTTACCTTCAGCCTGATTTACGCTCATTTAGTCAGCACTAACATGAAGGTTCTCTTTTATTTGATTTGATTGATTGATTTATTTCTGTTTGATTTTCTTTTTCTTTGGCATTTTTACAAATATGTAACCAACAAACCATTGCAAATTTTACACATTTCAAAAGAATATAATGTCGAACATAAAAAAAATCAAACAGGAGGGTTGATAAAATAAGCAAAGCTTGATAGCATGACTACCCTCAATGGATACATAATAATACGAGTATAGAGGAACAAAATATTGGTAAAAGGGGAAAGAGAGAGAGAGAGAGAGAGAGAGAAAAGAAAAGAAAGAGGGGTGTACATTGATGATTGATTATTCAATCCACGGAAATTGCAAAATAATAATGAAAACTATTATATACAAAGTTATTCAGCATTATTATTGTTTACTCGTAAAAAAACCCTTAAATTCCAGACAATGAGTCTGGAATGATTTCCAAAGCAGTTTACAAAACAGTGAATGTTTTTTGTTGGGGAACTTGTCAAACAGCTCCCTGCCTAAAGATATGTGTTATTAAATAAGATTTTCTTTAAAAAATATGAACAAAATTGTATAGATCCACCTTTTATGTATGCTGCCATGACACATCGATTTATATAATAGCTGCATTTTATTCTAAGCCAAATTTCATCTTTTGTTATAGGTTCAATGCATGTCTTCCTTTTATCTATACATGAAATGTTGCCGGGAAGGATAATTTACTCGAAAATGTTTTTTATAAAAATGTTTTCCTTTTACTATGTCCATATATATTATTCCAGAATATATGAACTTAAAATATATTAAAAATGATATTTACACGTTCTAGCTCTCTTAAAATTTGGTAAGCATATGAATTGATTATCTGTGCGGGTCGCAGTTAAGATGATTATTTTTAAAGAATATACTAAATGATTGTTTTCGTGATTGACACTGTTTTTTATGATTTCTGTTTTGTATTCTAATTTTGCCATGTTGTCAAACATGTAGCATTTTTATTCATTCCTCATGTTTTTTTGATAGATGTTGCCATCATCTCATTAACATCAAAGTTATCATAATCCTCATTATTTTCATAATAATAATCACAATATTAATGGTAAAACAAAATACATTATTATTTTTGTTATTACTATTATTATCATTATCATTATTATTATTTTGATTATTATTATTATTATCACCATTATTGTCATTATTATTTATTCGTGATCATGGTTGTTACAAAAGCAACTTTTATTTCTCGTCTTTTCACTTGTTTTTACACCAATTTTGGTACTATACCTGTATTCAGTACTTCTTGATCAATATCAAATTGTGAATACAACCGCAGAATTTCTTTTCGATCTAAAAAATATATTAAATTTACAGGAGAAATATTCTTAACTACATTGATATTTTTGCTTGTTTGTTTCTTCATTCACTGAGCCCTTTAACAAAAATGGTTTCGTCTTCGTTGAAATCAACTTTCAAAGAAAAACAAACTAACAATGGCCGAATAATCATCATTCTCAAATTTTGTCAGTCGACTTAATAAATATGAAATATGAGGTGTATCACATGAAAAGAAATCTCACCATTTTAGAGAAAATATAGTATACATAATAATATTCAGGTATTCGTTATTATCCACCCTTAGTACTTTCAAAACGATTGGACTATTTCAAAAGTACACTTTGTGAGCATCATTTTGTTTAACTAACGCCCTCTCTCATTTATAAGCTATGAGTATAACATATCCCCTGAAGAGCATAGACATGTATAATTGCATAACCTCACTTATGTCGAACAATATAGAATAAGAAAAGTAAAAAAAGACGATCGAGCGATATTCAGGCTTACAGCCATTGAAGAGAGAGAGAGAGAGAGAGAGGGGGGGGGGAATGAAAAGTATACGAGTGGAACAATGTGAAAGAGAGAGAGAGCCTGGAATTGTGAATCTATAGAACACAAATATGGAAAGTGGAGTATCATGTAACGCTGTAATTGATTTCCTTCATATGACAGATGTAAAGTTTTGTTAGCACGATGCGATATGATAATCAAATCGATATCAGTAAGACCCAAGTTCGATTCTAACGTGTACATCTTTAGTTTTGTCTAAAATAAAACACACAGTAGGTGAACTAGTTATGGAATCCCCAATAGCGCCATCAAGTGGCCGTTTTTATAAAGAGAAAAGGGATATGCATGCATTTCGTCCCTTTTCACAGTATGGACTATTACTTTGTTCTAGGAAGGCGCAACATTTTGTTGAAAAATAACCGATTTTGGCGATTCTAGACTTTTCTTTGTCCCTAGTTTATGAGAAACCGAATTTTCCTTAACTCTCTCTCTCTCTGTCGTCGTGCTCACTGTTTTGCCCCTTTCCCTTTTCGACTTGAGTCCAGTTCAATTCCGAGATTCCTCTCGTACATCCACGCTTTTTTTGCCATCGGAAATTTTTGAGGGATGTGATGGCTTAATATTATTGTTGAGCACTGGTCACAATCATGATCAGAGGGTTCCGGGTTCGAAACTACAACATGGAAGTGTTAATGACATTTAGTCAGGTATTGGTCCCTATCTACAAAGGAGGATAGAAATTAAATCCTATAGGTCCAATGGTTGACATTGAAATTATGACTCTTCATCAATAAACCCTGGTGATTGACACCCTGTGACTAAAGCTATAGCTGATGATCACGTGACAGGCCTCAGGTGATCAGAGCTAGATAGTCCCTTGCATCGGGCAGCGTTGTGAGGGGGGGGGGGGGGGGGGTAGCGATTGCCCCTAATATTGGATAAGAAACAAAAAGTATATACTGTGTTTGTCTTAGCTTTGGACACATAACAGCGTTTTAGAAAAATAATTAATTTTGGCTTATACCCGTGCCGCCCTTTGCAAAAAAAAAGCTATCACCATACCAGGTGAGGATGAAATCAGTCGCAGATCGATTCGAGAGGTTCCTGATTTTGTGACATGGTCATACGCCGTAAAGAGACATGGATTTTTTGCAATAATCATTCACTCCACCTTATGTCGACCGATGTCGGGCAACCGAATTTCCTTCCTGTCTGTGACCCAACATCTAGTCTTGTTAAAAATATATCTCATCTCAATCATTCAGCACGTTAGCCATCATCGTTATCATCTATCTCACCTCACTTATTCCTTCTATAATGATAATAATCATCACATACGCTGTATGGCAGTCATCATTATCCTTCTCATCATCATCGCCATCATCACTATCATCAACACTACCATCGCTATTATCATCATCACCACCACCACCATCATCATCACCATTGCGTCATCATCATCATCATCATCATCATCATCATCATCATCAACACCATTGCTTCATCATCATCACCATCATCATCGCGATCATCATTATCACCATCATCAACATAATCAACATCGCGATCATCATCTTCATCATCATCACCATCATCATCGCGATCATCATCACCACCATTGCTTCATCATCATCATCATCATCATCATCATCATCATCATCATCATCATCACCATTGTTTCATCATCATCAACATCATCATCGCGATGATCATCACCACCATTGCTTCTTCATCCTCACCATCATCATCACCATTGCTTCATCATCATCATGATCACCATCATCACCATCATCATTATCACCATCATCATCAACATTATCATCCTCACCATCACGATCATCATCACAATCATTCCTTACCAAGCACACCAGCATCATCATCATCACCATTGCTTCATCATCATCATCATCATCATCACCATCACCATCATCATCGCGATAATCATCACCATCATCATCACTCAACATCATCATCATCATTACCATTATCAATACCATCATCATCATCACCATTGCTTCATCATCAACACCATCATCATTTCTTCATCATCGCCATCATCATCATTACCATTACCATCATCATCACCATCAACATCATCACCACCATCATCATCATCATCATCATCATCATCACCATCACCATCATCATTATCACCATCATCATCAACATTATCATCCTCACCATCGCGATCATCATCACAATCCTTCCTTACCAAGCACACCAGCATCATCATCATCACCATTGCTTCATCATCATCATCATCATCACCATCATCATCATCGCGATAATCATCACCATCATCACTCAACATCATCATCAACATTATCATCATCACCATCGCGATCATCATCACAATCATGACGATCGTTCCGCACACCAGCACTTCCAAGCTAAAAACAAGACTTGATGAGACTAATTCCGAAAATAGTAACGTAGGTGCATTTAATAACATTATTTTGTACAACTCATAGATAGTACCCTTTTCTGTACACTGTGGAAACAATTTATATCACATAAACATAAGCAAAATAACTGAATACCAAGGTGCAATGTGTCTTGTTCAAAACAATGATGACTTCGGTGGATTCATAATATGCAAAGAATGAATAAAGAACCTCTCTGCAGCTAAAGCAAGATTAATACATGGTATCAAAGGTAAAAAAAAAAAAAAAAAAATTGGGGGGGGGGGGGGGGAGAGAAATATTTCATCGACCAATGATCAAATCATTGTTACATATACATCAAGGGCTGATTGATGATTGTCGGGAGGGGAGAGGCGAATATTCCTCATGATAATCGTTCCAAGAAACATGATTTCATGAAACCTGTTGGCCCTATTCCGACTCTTATCATTTCTGTTAATGGGTGTACGCGCCCCATTGCCAACGAAGATTAACGAAGACGGATGCATAAATATAAAATGGGGCTGCCGTTACGGACAACTGAATAGAAAATTGGTTCTTGTATTAGCAAAGATTGAGTGAACGAGCCCGTAAATTTATAACATTTCATGGATATTCATACAGCAATGGTGTATGAAATGAAATAGGAAAGTGGAAATTGACCAGAGAAGTGTTACAGAGAGGGAAAGACAGATACAGGAGAAGAGACAAGAATAGGTTGCATGAACGTAATAGCACCAAGTGTAACCATGACGTACTTATAGAGAGATAGTTGCAGCAATCACACAATTATACGCAACCAAAGGTCACTCCATGGAGCTCTAAATAGTTCCCTCCATATTGCATGTTGGAGGAAACTATTCAGAGCTCCGTGAATTGACCTTTTGATAGCATTATGTGTGCCCAACTATGTCTGTCTGTTCGCCATGGGTTTAATTTAGAAGGTAGACGTCAATTATCTTGGCAAAAGATACTATCACAAGTCACAAGTGACAACTTCCAATTATAAGATATAAGTTTCCAAATGTTGTGTACTATTTATCGTGTTTTTCTAGGAAATGTCAATACTGCCAGTAAGAGACGTCCATTATTAGTACTTGGTGAAAAGTTACAAATCGACAGTTTTGTAAGACAAAAGACAACTTTACACTTTATACAGCAACCCTGTACCCCAAAACATTTGTATACAAATCACCAAGAATGCTTCTCCAATACATGTAATATTATGTACAGTTCATGTGCCAAGTCAAATAAGATTGAAAATATTTTGGTAAAGATCCGGGATTATGACTTTCGTCAACTTTATGTCAATGACCATTCTCCTTTTTAATACGGAAAGTGATATTGAAAGAATACCGAACAAGATTGGATTAGAGGCAAAGAATTGTGAGTCTACTCGTCATTAGAACTCGTTTGGAGGAAAAGAAAGTCGTTGCCATGGATTTTCTAGTTCTTTACAGGTTTGTAAACAGAATCGGTACAAAAGTTAATAATTTTCATTTTTGCCTTTTCTATATTTTACAGTCTTATCATGCAACCTTATAAAGAGGTAATTGCTTTCTTCGCACCAATTCGCGAAGTCTCATTACGTCTTTCGTCAGACCTTCTACTTCATTCCTCAGAGTTACGTTCTCTACTTCAAAGAAATTCGATCGAGAGGACCGATAATCGTTGAGCAACCGTTTTGCGTCACGGCACTTCTTTGCAGCGATATTATTGCGTACGCGCTTATCGCGATACTTCTCGTTAAAGTTCATATCACGCGTGCGTTGACGAGTAAGCTGACGCATGGATGGAGCAGAGAAATCCTTCGTTTGGAGACGAGCACCAACCAGTTCTGACGCCGCTTTGGCAAGCTCAACATAAGCCTGTGCTTCAGAGCGATTCATGGTCCGGCTAGGAGTGGGCACCAAGTTTCTAGCCTGTTCAAGTTCTTCTTCAATACTATGCAACATATTCTGAGGGAATTCAACTTTAGGCGGGATCCATTGGGTTCTTAATGGAACCGAGGACGTACACTCGATTTCCATATTGTCAACTTCGTGCGGAACCTCATCATCTTTCTCCCGCTTAATGTTCATGAGGATGGGATCATCCTTCATTGTTAGTTGGTTGGCTGGGGTGTTCACCTCCGAGTCAGTGGTTCCTACCTCTTCTTGATGACACAGTGAGCGTAGAAACCTGGCGCGTAGTTTATGTGGCAACTTGTTGATTTCTGCGAGAGACGATGTGTCGGATATCTCAGATGAAGTGGGTGAAGTCGATACTGGTTTACAGACATCTTCAATAGCTGATACTGGCTTAGACTCCGCGATGGGAGATTCGACCAAAGGACGAGTTCTTTCAGAGGCCTTGGCTGAGGGGATTCCAGCATCATATACAGGACACAATTTGTCTCCCGGTGATCTCGCCTTGGTAACACCATTTCCAACCACTGTGGATATATCTGTTGATTGGATAGCACTCTCCTGCAATGTTTTCGAGTGTGACGTAGATTCACTTCCTGCAGGCTTAGGTATGTAAGCGGTTGGCCATCTAGAACGGTCTTCTAACTCAGGACGATTAAAAGAGTTCACGTTCCTTGACGATGCAATAAATGGAGGGAAAGATCCACTTGACAAGGTAGCAGCATGCGACACGGATCGAACTGCCTGTTGTAAATTGTACTGTTGTAGGCCGTGTTTTGGTAAAAGAGGTTGTGGTACGCCATGGTGGTGTATGGTGTGGTGTGGTAATCCAGGTTGTGGTAAACCAGACTGTGGGAAACCGGGTTGTGCTATACCGGACTGGGGTAAACCAGACTGTGGTAAAAGCATGATCTCCTGAGGAGTAGGGAACCTGGACAGGGGGTTGTGGTAGGTTGGGATGATAAGTGGTAGGGATTGCGGAGAGACACCTACAACAAATTGTGTTTGAGGTCCTTGTGGGGGCGGCAACATATCAACGGCAACTCCCTGTTTAGTGTCTTTGATAATGTTATCCTGTACCAACCGTTTAATGTTTGCAAGCTCACTTCGCAAGTCTTCATTCTCCTGTGCTAACTTGCTCACTTTACTCTCCATGACATTATCTGCCATACGACGTTTCTCTCGAGATCGCTTCGCAGATAAATTGTTCTTAATACGCTTCACCCAGTATCTTGCGTCCTTCGTACCATCGGGAACAAAGTCGCGTGGTCGTCTTCCCGTCGCACCGTCCCCGACCTCGTTTGCCTCACACTCTTCCCTAGAATCGTCGTCCATGTCAGAGCTGTAGGGGGCGCTGTCTTCTTTGGTATCCGAATCGGAGAGACCACTGATCTTGTTTCGGTTGTCCTGCTCTGAGGTCTTTTGAATAGCGGGGTACACCATCTGAACCGGGATATGGACCGGTCTCTGATAGAGGGGTGATGATGTCTTCAAGTTCTCATACGGTTGATGAGCTCGCTGATGTTTAGTCGAGTGTGAAATCAGTCCATTTCTCTGAATTTCACTCTTGGATGCATTGGTATCGAGCATTATGATGTCGTTCTCCATGGCTAGTTATGTTGTAGTAAGATATTTTCTTGGAATGTTGTAGGTATACCATATCACGTATAGCTATCACCTTGATAGGTACCTGAAAAGAGAAGAATTAAGAATGACATGGAATTAGTTTATTTACATGTGCTGTCTCTCGCCATCAAGATGTGCATGGGTTTTGAGTGATTATCTCTTTCCATTTTGGTCTGCCTTTAATTAAAGGATTTGATTTCGAAATGACATAAAAGAACAGAAATTGAGTGTATGTTGAGACTAAAAGTAATTACACTGGTTAACGCTTATTCTGTTCATTTCTATTCTAGTTAATGCTGTGTTGTTTTTCAACGAGCATGCAAACGATTCTCGCCTCCTCAGAATATAGATGGCGCTGTGTAAGAAACAGTTTAATATGCTAATTCTAAAAAGCTTCCACCATAAACAAAACACATATCTCTTCATATCTCACATATTGCTTCGTACTTGCAGTGGCATTTCTTTTAATGTTTACATGAATTAGACGGTCTGCTGAGGGCCATAAATAACTACATTGTATTCATATTTACTCAAAGGTAACTCCGTTCTGGCGTTAAACAGAACAGACAATATAAAGTATGTGCTTTTCTAGGAATTTCAACACTAATATAGCACCTGTTCTGCTTTGTGATTGTAATTACTCAACGAAATGTATTTTTTGTTCAATTCTTACAAACAGAAATGGAAAGAGCTTATAGTCGTTATACCACCTTTCCATGTACTTATAAAAATGAAACACCGAATAAACATGATTGCCCTACACAAAAATAAGGAGAATTCTCTTCCAAAAATCGGTGAAATCCGTCTCAATTACAGATGTGAATGTTGTTGCTGTTATTTGGTTCACCAAAATATTGGTTTGTTTATACTCATTCGATATTAATAGGGACTTTTAGATTCTGCACGACGAGAACGCGGACTGCCCTTTTAAGGCAATGTGACGTCACTGCCAGTGCCTTAAAAGGACGTCACATTGCCTTAAAAGGGCAGTCCACGTTCTCGTCGTGCATAATCTAAAAGTCCCTAATGCTTGATAGCCTCACGTCATGGGTCTACTACAATTCAATTCAAGACTTTATTCCAGACTCAGCTGCAAGAGCAGGGTCCATATTATGCTTATATTAACATGTAGATACAAACAATGAACAAGAATAAGAGGGGAATGCATTATTAAAACCGACATATTTACAATTATAAACAATGAACAAAAATAAGAGGGGCACACATACAGATATGAGAGAAACAAAACTTAACTACTTTAATCAACCTCTGTCGACTGTGACAACAAGCTACTGAACCAAAACTTCCACAAGTCTCAGGTGAACCTTGTAAGTTGCTTTAATTACAATGGGTTACCAACATTTCAACAGGCATATTTTCTGAAGTGTCAATTCTCTGAATAAACTTGAAAATCAGATTTCTTACAGCGTACAGCTTGACATGCAGGTATATTCACATCTGCATACATAATTAAACTCTTGCACTAGAATTAAACTCTTGAAAAAATACGGTACACACACGTACTTGTAGATGTGTTTTGGAAGGACGAAGACAAAATAACATCTGATCATAAAGATGATTGGATCGAGACTAGAGACATTTTAGTGAACTTCGGGAGTGTGTTTCATTTGAGTGATTTTCAATATTATAATAATATAATTATAGTTATCCATCTCCGTTATGAGCTGTCATAAAATCACTGAGAAAATGTAGGAATTATGTTGTAGGGCCAGTCTGGGAGTTGCTGATACGATTTAAATAGTCCTTCCCCTTCTATTATGCTTACACAAGCAATACTTGCGTAATTCATTGTAAAATCGTCCAAGGTTGAGTAATTATTGGTTAGCCGGTACAGTCTGCACACACAAACCGTTTGCGATCACTGATTTTCCAACATACATGCAGATTATCGAAATTTCTATACGAATAACATTCTTTGGGGTGTTTCGTAATATCGTCACGAAACGTCCTTTTGTCAAAGATCAGTGAATTAGCTAGATGGTTGAATTCGACCCAACTCAGAGGTCTGATTTTCGGGGGGTCTGGGGCCTAAACCAAACGACTGCGACTGCTTGCCGCCAATATACAATATGGTCTAATACACATAAAAAAGAGGTTTGTTGGGGTGACAGTCTCAGGACAACACCAACAGGAAAAGATTATAACATATATATATATATATATATATATATATATATATATATATATATATATATATCAATACTTGGAAAATAACAAAAGTCAAAAGCGTCCAAGTAGGATCAGGAAGTTCGTCTCACTGGTAAGATATAAAGCAAACCGTCCTTTTCGGGTCCGAGACCCGTATTCATAATCATTACGTAATCACAAGCGTCACAGCTCGGGCTCGGAGTATAATACATATTAGTCTTGTCGTACAGACACACCTAGATAGCCTATTGATTGTGATATCCTCTTATTCTGGAAAAAAAATTGCCTGACTATATCCACAGAGAAAGTACTTGTCGGTCTTTCCTCCCCCACCCTTCATTCACCAAACGGTGCAAAACGACAAATGATTTTTTTTTTAATGATCCCAGCCCCCTCGATCCTCTTACACAAATTTATTCCCTCCTCCATTTTCGAAACACCCGTACAGAAGACAAGAATTAAACAAGGAGTAGACAAAGAAGGAATATAAAAAGAAGTAGTAGAAGAAGGATAAAGAGAACAAAAATAACAAGAAAAAGAGATGCATACATATACGGTAAGTTGAATTAGAAGTAGAAGAAAAAGAAGATGACGATGACGGCGAAGATGAAGAAATAGAAGAACACCTTTTTTTCACAACGAATCTGTACGCAGGACAGGGCAAAGTAAGTTTACATCTTTAGTGTACAAGAAATTAATCAAATTATCGTCAACAGCAAGAGGAAAAAAAATTGAAGACATACATGTCCGAAATAATTTATAAAAATCCCAAAACTGTCAAAGGTGTAAGATAGCACTGACGCCTTTCCAACTTACCTATACTACAGTCGTCTTTTCAGGCCTATATTTAGGTCCGGAAATTCATTTCTGAAAAACTATGGCGAAAATCCATCTAAAAATGTATCAATACGTCACCAGACAAGGAGACATCTCCCTGGTCCAACAATCCAATAACAAACAAAATAACGACAAGTCGACAACGTGCAACGCAGACCTCCTTAAAAAAATAAAAGTGACAGAATCCTCATCTTGTTGAGTGTGGTCACTCATCACGAAGACAAAAAATACATGCCAAATATTTGGGACATCAAAATAAAAGATAAACTCGATTTTTACAATTCAGCTAGAAAAATACATAATGAAATATTTCACTCCGATCCCCTTCTATATGCACACAGAAAACAGAACAAAACAAATAAGGTGACGATAATTTAGACGAATATTTGTGATGCCAACCATCATCATGTACAACAAGTATTTACCTGAATTCAAGCTTCATAAGACGGAAATGCACTGAACTGAAGGTAAAGTTGGATAGAATCACATCTGATCACAGAAGTCTAATCATGACATATCGGCACAGTTTCGAAAAGTAGTTTGGTTAAATACGTGATGCACAAACAAGAGTTTCAGTGGACCAGATATGATTCCCAAGGATGACCATGTAATCAATGTGAGCCTATCTAGATCACATGAGCGAGATTAAGACGAGCAACCGTAATAGGTAACCTACTTTCAGTATGCGTTCTGCCTAACAAAGCAAAAGGTATTGACTCGATTACGCAACCGTTTTTTTGCTCAGGCGCAGTAGAAGGCAGGTTACGAGACCTTTGCCGAGCTTGCATCATCGCCTAGTCTACACTTCATACCGACATAGAAGTTTTGAGTTAAATCAAGCTAGTAATATAAATAAAAGGAACTATAGGAACCATAACAAGATCCTCATCATTAGAATCATAACACACATGCACTTTAGGTGCACGCGTCAGAATATTAAAACCTAGAATAAGTGAATCTCGGAGAAATTAAAGCCCCTAAAGTAATGTTCTTGTCTGGATCCGCGGCCGTTAGACCTATGCTACATCATAAAGCTATTAAATAAATTACTGGTATTTGAAATTTTAATACAGAGAAGGGGACGGGTATATATGCCTTGATATTTTGATATGCCTATTGATTTATGAGCGCAGTGTGTGACCCTGATCGACATATAAATAAGTCGCAACTAAATAAGTTGCTTACTATATAGGCAAGTCAAGGACTATGATCTTGCTATTGCCTAGGACTAAGCTACAGGTAGCCGAAGTTGGCTTAAATCCAATTTTTTCAAATTCGGAACTAAAACGCCAAATATCTATTTCATAAATTCATTTTATTAATGGGATTTAAAACGAAAAAACAACTGAATTGAAACCAATAAACTCTACACTACGTAGTGTAGATTTCGGTGATTAAAATAGAATAATCCGTTTACCGTTGAGTCTGGTGAGCAGACTAGTGAACTATTCTGAACAACAGATCAGTCGATGTATATAGATCAATGACATTAAAAAATGTAGATCACCCTAGTCTAGAAGTAGCTTTGTCTTACATCTTCTTGCTTTCTGTCCATCTATCAATTGTTTCTAGAATTACGGTCTTGATCAACTATCGTACCCTCGTATGTTAGCAATTTTGTTATAGCCTAACTTGATAGATTTAAGGTTTGTTAATGTTACCACGTTCTTTATTTCGCCTATATTTGCATAAAACAAACACGTCCATTTGATTGATTACGATTGGGAGTATGAGAGAATAGAATACTTCCATAATCTTTGCGTTCAGCACAATATGAAATTGTTGTAGTTATAGTTATCAAGTATAGGATAGAGTGAAAATAGTTCAAAATATATAACATCACAGAATAATCATAGAATAGTCGCGTTCGCGTCACTTTTTCACACAAAAATCCCTAAACATGGTTCCATTTTTAACAAAAAATATCACTATAAAACATGGGTCCGTTATTTCAAAATAACAAAACACCTGTAACTTTGTGAAAAATGGGCCTTTATTTTGGGAACTCCCCCCACCTCCCACACACACACAAATGACCCTTACAAAATGAGAAGGGGTTCGAGGCTTCAGCAGGACAACCCTGTCAAAACCAAAACTGAGTACCCCCCCCCCCCCCCGAGTTCGCAGACTAGGCAGTCATAATCTTACGTAATATGACGTCGCATAGTATTCATCCGGCCTTACGCAACCTGTTTAGTCTACGTTGACAAACATGTTATGAAGGAGGGGTGGGTGAAGGTTTATCGCACTATGTTGCACAATGATTATGTTGCACAATGAATATGTAGATCAAGGACTGTCGAAGAAGGGACGAGGCCAAAGGGTTCGAAAATTCACGATTTCTGGAAAGCGAAGAAACAAACAGACCCAATTAAGGGCGCGGGGTAGGGTAAATGTGGGAGGGGCGGTAAGGGGGGTGCTTATTGTGCTTATATTTATTATTGCAATAACAGTTCCTGATCTTTTCACAATTATCGTAATGATCGTAATTTCGTCGAATACTGTCTGGTATAGCGAAGAAGAAGAAGAAAAAGAAAGAACACAACACAAAAGCCCGGCCCTATGTCATTCTGTGTTAGAACATATTATATCAACTGTAGCCCCTATCGACAGAGGCGGCTTTCTATATGTGGATAGGGTAGATAGGCACGGGGCCCCCACTTTTTCAAGTACCCCAAAAGTACCCCGTGAAAAATGCGATAGGTGCCACTTTTCCTTTGCAATATTCCCATTTCCATTCTCATATGTACCTCCTTCACCTCTGATAATAATTGCCCCTAGTCAAATCTGGGAGATGATCGTTTTACTTTGACAAGTGCCCCTTTCCTTGATAATAAGTGCCCTTCCCCTTCTAATGAGTACTCCTTTTTAAATATCTGATGAGTGCCCCTTTTAATGTTTATCACGTGCCCCTTTACCTTTATCATATTTGCCCCTTTTCCATACTCATAAGTGCCCCATTTCATTTCTGATGAGTGCCCCTTTTTAGATGTGAGAAAAATCCCCCATTTAACTCTGAGCGCACCCCTTTTCCTTTTTTGATCACTTTTTCCTTCTGATAAGTGCCCTTTTCTTTTCTAATAAGTGTCATTTTCCCTTCTGAAAAGTTTCCCCTTTTCCTTTCTCCATAACATGTGCCCTAATTTAAAGCGACTAAGAGCAATCATATCTTTGTTATGCCCCCAGAGCTCGCTCGCATTTATAGTTTATATAATTATGTTACTTATTAAAGGTTTTGTAAGTCTTTCATAAATAGATTGTGCTTAAGACCCCGTGACTGAGTATTGTTTTGCAAATAAATATTCAGACCATCACGCCCAACTGAAAAGTATTTTGGACCATGTAAAGACTTAGAGATAAACAAAATTGGAATAATTCCTGGTAATGTAATCACAATGTAGGGGTTTAAACAAATGTAAAAAAACTGCATATTTTCGCTTTGAGGTTTTCTTTGTCTGAGTGCCTCCTTTTCCAGAAAGTGCCCTTTTTGTTGGTGCCCCCCCCCCCCAACTTTGAAAGCCGCTCCACCGGCCCTGTCTATCGGGTTTCTCACCGGTGACACAATATTGAACGGAAATCCAACCTATGTGATAAGTTTTTTTTTGTATGGAAGCAGAAAAATAAAGGGGACAGAATGGCAAAAGTTTTCAATAAAACGGACCAATAATAAGTGAGTTATGAAAGTTTGAAATATGAGATCACTAAGTCTATACAAATCTCAAATTGATAATTTGTCAGTTGATTGTGACGTACAAGTGTACAACTCTCCCGTTCGTTGTGTACAAAAATATCATTTAAGTTAGTTTTTCTCGTAAGTGCCTTCTCCCATTTATTAGAAGACCCTCGTGAGTCATTCATTCAAAATCGGAAGTTTAATCATTGTACGTTACAGTAACTTTACTGAATCAGCGATTTTGAAGTGCCCATACGCATTGCGATTACAACTTTCGAAACATTAATAATTTTCTTATTTTTGTATCGATAATTTCAACATTATCGGGGGCTAAAAATATATTGAATTGGTCATTTGGAGCTTTAGTGAAATGTTATTCAAAATGGAAGACATGCATGTTTCTAAACGTAAATATCACACTCTTTATTTAATTCTTATAATGTTGTGTCCTCTAAGTTCTAAAACTAACCTTGCCCTACCGGTCTTGGTGGCTATAGTAGTGACCTACTTATGGTCAAGTCACGTTGCTCCATTTATATAGAGGCCTATTGTTTGTATAGTCTATATCACAGACCCCCTTCTTCGCAGGTGTGTCATTATGCTCCATATAAAATACTCAGCTACATTTTTTGTCATTCAAATTTATTTCTAAAGTTTGTTCTGCAGAGTTTGTGGGAAAAATAGATTGTTTTTCAAGAGCAGAATGTGAGAGGTAAAACTTAATTGTGTATTGTGCATTTCATGTACAAAAAACTTGGACTAACATGCTTCTATAGTAAACAAATTGATTCCTAATTTCTAGCCCGGATTTGTTTAAAATGAGAGGCCGTTGTCTATCTTATTTGATGTTTTATATTTTTCTGTTAGAACAAATGTACTATTGGGTCACGTTTAACAACATACAGATGAAGGTCCAAATCAAGGTAAAATTTCAATATAAGAAAATGTGAACAAACTAAAAGAGTTATACATTTAAATCCTCGAGTTTCATAAACTGAAAGTAATATTTTTCAAAATGGTGCTTCGCTTAGATTCATATATAACAGAACTTTGGTGGGGAGGGGAGGGGGGCTTAACTTACAGGTCCTCTTTAAAACCGCCTCTGGGCAGCCTGTTTATGCACTGGAAATCTATCATGGAATTAGTTTTTTTTAAATACATTTTCATTTAGAAAATGACAATAGGTTTACATATTTCCCTTATTAAAAAATGAAATCAGTATATTAAATGAGAGCTGAATGATAAGATCTGTTCAAGAACTCAAATATATCAGTGTAGAGGAGTCGTAGTCTATAGCGGAAACGTCAACGGACTGTTGATCAGCTGGTTCGCGGTTCAAGCCCCGCCGCGACACTAATGACCTTTGGCAAGACATTAATCTACATTTACCACTCTCCACCCAGGTGAAGTAAATGGGTACCCGGTAGGAAAACAAATCCTTGAATGCTTTAGCGCCTTATTATGGCAGCTCAGCTATAGCCGATATAAGCAGCTGCTCTTTATAAATGGACCTATTGTTATTATTAATATTATTAGGCCTATTATATCCTGAAGAATATGGTGAAAAGGAATGGTGTAGATCTGCCGAAGGGACATCAGTGCGATGGCTGGGACTCTAACCACGAACCACGGTCCAGGGCAAGACCACTCCAAAAATAACTGAATTTCATTAGAAGCAGAAAAATTCAAATTCAAATTCAAATTCAATTTATTTCCACCTTAAAAACATTTAAGAATCTATAATATATACATGTACAATAAATATATAATAATATATACTCGTGCTAACTTTTGGTTCTCCCTTTAACAACATTTAAAGTTTTTAAGTTTAAAATATCCTTTATTTGAATCACTTATACGCTATTGGAACTCTGTGAATTTCAATTCCAGCCACAAATCTCTACGTATTATTAAATTATAGCTAATTCACAGGTTTGATATGACATGATATATGATTTATTTAATTTGTACATATGGTTCAACTATGGTTATTTTCTTTTTCTTTGTAACTCATGTACAT